AGTAACACCTTGGATTTCTAGTAGGAGAAGCTCAGAGCACTTTCAGGAATTTCAAGTATTTTCATGAGCCAGAGTTTACTTAGGACAGATACTGAAAAAGTTCTCTTTCTTGAGCTGTTTTCAAATACAAACACATACAGGAGGGATAACCCCTTTAAGGAGTTATCCCATTCTAAAAAGCGATATGGAGAACAAGGCCGCACAAGTTCCACATGTCATTCCCCCAGAGTTTTGTTATAAACCATTAGAAAAATCTTACTTTAGAATAGTGAGTCCACACGGTCCTCCAGATTCCTTCAGAAGACAGACTTCAGATCTTTGTGCAGAAGAAGTCACATGTTGGTTAAATGCATGCTGGGAGGTGGAGTTCAGGCTCCTCCGGAGGACTTTGAGAATTCCAGTTTTGTGAGCTTTTAGACGAGGCAGTGCAACCAGCTGCGTACTTTAGATGTATCCATGCTGCCATCTAGTGGACAGAGCATAGAACTACTACTGCCAAACAGGAAGTCTTGTCTTTTGTTTGCACGGATTACTGAGCCAGAGAGCCTGAATGTCCAGGAACCCAAGACCCTGGACCTTCCGGTTGTCCTCACCCTGAATCCAGACTGTTTTGAGGGAGGGGAAAGAGAACATCTCTGTGGCTAAGGTCTAGTTCTGGCATTAACCTGCCGCGTGCAGTCAGGTCTAGCACAAATACACCTTCAGCTGCAGAACGCCCGCATCCTGGCTCCTGGGCCTGGGCATGGAAGAGAGCACCCAGCATGCATGGAAGTCTTGAAAGGAACAAGCGAAACAGCAGGGGATCAAGCTGGCTGAAACAGACAGCTACGACAGGGAAAGACGAGGTCTGGTGGGCTCTCTTGGCCAGGCCAGAGACTGGTGGGTTAATCTGATTGGTGTGATTAGGCAGAGTGATTATGTAGGTCATGTGTGAATGTCCTACATAAGCCGGGGTACTCGATACATGATGGGCACACGTCACCAGGGCCTCTTGCACTGTGAAGGCTACAAAAACAAAGCTATCAAGTTCCTCTCCTCCTTTGTTGCCAGGGCTGGCCAGCCACACCGATCCGGCCTTGGAGATGCAGGCTGCACTTTCTGAGAGCTCTGGCTTCTGCTCTTCTCTCTGAGCAGCAGCTGCGGTGTGGGTCTGAGAGTCGGACACGGGCAGGACATGGGCAGGACAGAGCAGAGCAAGACAAGGAGCTGGTGCTTCAAGGCTGGCTCAGGGTGACTCCTCTGCACTCTGTGGCTGCAGAAACTTCTCAGCATTGCTTATCCGTGTTTGTGTCTTTTTGTTTGTGGTATTACCGGGGACCAACATGCTTAGGAATAATGAAAAGAAACAAACAAAAAGGCTGGGCGGTGGTGGTGCATGCCTTTAATCCCAGCCCTCGGGAGGCAGGGGCAGGCGGATCTCTGTGAGTTTGAGGCCAGCCTGGTCTACAAGAGCTAGTTCCAGGACAGGCTCCAAAGCTACAGAGAAAACTTGTCTCGAAAAACCAAACCAAACCAAACCAAACCAAACCAAACCAAACCAAACCAAACCAAACCAAAAACCAGGGCTGAGTATCTTGCTCAGTGCTGGTCTGTCTCACTTGGCAACCGGCCCTGGCTTTGGTCTCTAGTACCACATAAAGTCCCAGCGTGGTGGGTGGTACACTGCCTGGGAGCCAAGCACAAGGAAGACATGTAGGAGGAGCACAAAGGTTGCCTAGTAACTTCAACGCCAGCCTGAACTACAGAAGATCCTTATTCAAAACAGGAACCAACCTCCCTCAAAGGGGAAAAAAAGCCCAATTTAAAAATAAAAAAGACTACAGCAAGTCCTGCATCTCCCCTCAGTAGTTCAGCAAACCAAACCTGCAAAGTGGCGAACTCGCCAGTGTTCTTTCTTATATGGGAAAGGAGAAGAAAACATTAATTAGACCAAGGATGTGAGAGGAGGGGGCGTGGCGTGCAAGCGCAGTAGCCAAGTGTTTTGCCGCACCTGCTGGAAAAATGTCAGCTCTTTACAGAGGACACGCAGAGGAACCGAAGTGGAGTTGATAGCCGTCTTTTCAGTTCTGCCTGGGCTGTGTAAGGCTCCTGCTGGTTGGCATCACTGTACCCTGTTTCAGGACACTCCTGAGTCCAGTCGTGAGCTCACATCTGGCTGTGCTCCTTGCTTTAATAAACATGACTTTTCCAAACCTTGCAGGGTTTGGAAAGACGTCGTTTTTATGACTGTGAGAGTTCCGAGACCAACTTCTGCATCTCTTGTTTAATTTTATTAAAGATTTAAATCCAAGGCGCATGTCTGTTGTCCCTGTACCTGGGACGCCACGGTAGGAGATTACAAGGACAAACTGGGCTGCACGGCAGGGCCTACTCTCAAAGGAAGAAAAGATTCCCATGCAGAAGTGTGTTTTTTCAGTCCCCAAAACAGCAAGACAAAGGCACTAGCCCACTCCAAGCTTGTGGCTCTGGCAGGCCTTGCCCTTCTCCCCAGTTCTATCAGTCTTGCTAAAAACTGTTAGATTACATTCCTGAAGCTATCCCCCAAGGTCCCTTCCCTTGTTTGGCCAATCCCTCCTCCTGAGGCTGATTACCAAGGTCCAGCTATCAAAGAATTGCAATGCAGCAACTGGCTCACCTAATTAGCATGCCCCATTAACGTTAAATACCTTATTCTAACACGGGATTTTACGTTTACAAAATGCCATTTGCCTGTGAGCCATAGCTGTCTCCTCTATCCAGAGGCAGTCTTCTGTCCTCTGGAACAAACACCCTTGCCTCTGTTTCCTTGTTTCTGTCCCCTTCTCCCTTTTCCTCTTTCTCCAGTCTTTGTCTCTTATTCCCCACCCTCTGTCCCTCTGTATAATGTGGCTGGAGGTGGCTACATGGTGTCTCCTGACTCCACCTTCTTTTCCCCAGCATTCAGTTTAGTTTTCCCCGCCTACCTCTATTCTCTGCCAGGCCAAGACAGATTCTTTATTAACCAATGGTATTCACAGCATACAGAGGGGATTCCCATATCAAGGTAGATCTAAGTGTCCCCTTTTGAGCCCTCCTTGTTACCTAGCTTGTCTGGGTTTGTGGATTATCCTTCACAGCTAACGCCCAATTGTGAGTATAGTTTTTCTTTCTGTATTTTGCCTGAAATCTCCTTATGCCATTGTTTTTAACAGCTGAGTAACTGAGTAATTCCATTGTGTAGATGTACCACATTTTCTTTAGTTGAAGGACATCTAGGTTGTTTCGAGTTTCTGGCTATCCATCACACTCTAAGATCCCATTGTACATCAGAATGGACAAGATCAAAACCACAAATGACAGCTCATGCTGGGGAAGATGTGGAGCAAGGGGAACACTCCTCCTTTGCTGGTGGGAGTGCAAACTTGTACAGTCACTTTGTAAAATCAGTATGGTGGTTTCTTAGGGAATTGGTCTACCTCAAGTCCCAGCTATACCACTCTTGGTATATATCCAAAGGATGCTCTATGATACCACAAGGACACCTGCTCAACTACGTTCATAGCAGTTTCATTTGTAATAGCTATGACTTTCTTAAAAAGCAATGAAAGAGCATGTCACAGCATGCCTTGTGAGGTCGTGGGAATGCTTAGGCTCCGTCAGACTGCTGTAGAGGCAGGGGAGACTGAGGAATTAAAGACCCAGCCCTCCTGAAGGCAAAGGCTGCATAATTTTACAGGGTGAGGAAATATCAGAACCATTAGGAACATTTGTTATCTCTATAGTCCCCACAAACAGGGGCTGGAGGACCAGAGGGGCTGATGCTATTGAGGGAACTAGGAATAAGAGAAGCCATGTTTGAACCCTAGCTCAGTGGGCCAGATAGAAGTATTGAGAGAGGAGTTATAAGGAAAAGGCTGGCCCAGCATGGACCCCTAGCCCTGTGGTGGGGCATGAGCTGCAGAGAATAGGAAAGGCTTTCGCAGATGGCAGTGTCTTAGAGCTGCATGTGAAGTCTCTGTGAACAGAGGGAGCAACCTAGAGAGACAGGAAATAGTACAGCGGGTCTGGATTCCTTAAAGACAAATGTGGCAAGATTTTGTGTCAAACTAAAATTTCTAAGGGCAAAGTTGACAGCCAATTGCATGCTTAGGGGCTTCTAGAAGGCTTTAAATCCTGAGGAGCTCACAGAAGACACCCATGATAGAACAACACAAGTGAACATGGGCCAATGGGTGGGCCCTTTTCCATGTTCTGTTACACCTTGCTTGTGCCCCGCCCTGCTGGAGCATCTTCTTAGTTATGAACTTCTGGGGTCATGTGACACTTGCCGAGAACAGATGACAGCAGACCTTCAGACTTGCGATCTTTGTAACCCTCCTATTTGCTATGGGATGATGATTTGGGGAGCTGCCTTGTCTGGCCCATCATCTGAAAAAGGTTTTGTTAAATGAATGACAGTGTTAACTGGTGTTTTGCAAATCTGGAAAGCCATCGGAGGGACAAGATGGAACTTCCACCTACCTTACAACCCTACTGGTTCCCTAACAGGTGGAAAAGGACACCCCCAGAAGCCATAAGGTTATTGGATGAAAACCCCAGTGCCAGGGGTGGGCTACCTCCTTGTGAACTGTTGGCCAGGAAAGCCCTCTAAGCCTCACAAAGCATAAAGCTATTGTCAAAGCTAGACAGTAAGACCCTGTTCCTGGAGAAATGCAAGTGCGCGCTGCAACTGCGAGACATGGAGAAACGAGGCTGGGACTGAACTGGAAACAGTTTTCACAGGGCCAGAGGGGCCATGCAGCTTGTTGGAGACTGACAGCCTGCTCTGGTTAAGGCCTGCTCCACAAGATGGAGTTCCCACAGCGCTGTAAGCCAGAACAGAAACTTGTGGCTGGGGAGGTCATAGGCGGTATTCACACTTTGGTTTGTCGTGGGCTCCCTATCTGGGGTCAGTAAACATGTGTGCTGTGTTTTCCCGGGAAAAGTTGTCACACAGCAAAGCTTTATATTAATTTGTGCTATGGAAAGACTAGAGATTTCCTTAAGAACTTTATTCTTTGCAATATATAAAAATAAATATTCCAACTTTTGGGAGTATCACAAATACAAGAAGAAGATACTGCTATTACCACTCTAAATGACTGGAATAAATTTGCTTCTTGTGCCTCTATCTTCTCATTATAATGGCAAAGTGAGAATTACATCACTGTCAGGTTAGGGTAGACACAAGAAGAAGGCCACTCTGAAGGACGCTGTGGGTGGGCCGGCCGGCTACTGCATTTTGCACTCAGGTCCATCTTTCCCCAAGGAGGGCTGACGGAGGTCTGCCTTGGGATCCACATTCTCTACTTCTGCAGCTGGTTCCTCTGACAAAGGAAATAAAAACAAATTAGCCCTATGCGAGTTCACCTGCTGCCCTCAGAGGCCAAGAGTATTAGATACCCTGGCTCAGAGATCCACAGTAGTGAGTTGCCATCAGGGTGTGGGAATGGAACCCTGGTCTTCTTGCAGGAGCAGCAAGTGTTCATAACTGTTGAACTACCTCTCAAATTCTGAGTTAGAGTTCTTAAAAAATAATATATTGTTTGGTAGCTATCCCAGCAATTGGGAGCGGAACTGCTGCAAATTCAAGACTAGGCTGGGCTACAAAGTAAAACTGTCTAGAAACAAAAAAACCCCAAACCAAATACCACCTCTCAACAACAAAACAAGCAACAACAAAATGTTACACCGTGTGCTGCTAGGTGTAGTGGAAATCTCCCTCCATCCATCCCACCCCTTGTCCACCGTGGACAGACACTACCTGCCCATCAGCGTCACCCCAGTGGGTGGATGGATTGTCACACTGGTGGAGCTTATTTAACAGTCCATGATCAGCACTAGTGATGCTGGTAGTGTGAACATGTGAACGTGGAGGTATAAATTCCTTTAAGTGAAAAGGGAAAATTTTACTATAATCTCTATGAACATCAAACAAACAAACAAAAACAAAACAACAACAAAAAACCCCTCCCAGTAAACAGGATTTTATGTTACTCAGGATTTTAGAGTCCTGGAGGTCCTGGAATGAATCTCTCACAGATAAACGTGGACTAAGATACGCACTGCACAGAATATTTACTTGTCTGACTCTGAGCACAGACTTGAGTGGGTGAAGTCAGATGCGGTGCTTTAGTAATTGTGACAATGACAGCAAGAGGCAGGGAACACAGTGAACGGCAAGTCTGGAAAACACCATGTAACCGTGAAGTAACCAAGACAACAGGAACATGAGTTCTGACGGAACTGACGGTGCACACGACTCCCACCCATTGTCCCCAGGGATACCCAGCAGCCTGTGCATTACCTACCTGGGCATAGTCCTAAACTGGAGTTATCAAAATAGCGAATCGGAGGAGGTGCTGGTAGAGACTTTGACCGGTTATCAAAAAACCAAGATTTTGGTGAGTCTTTTGGCACAGGGTCCTGGAAGTTCCGTTCCCTGCACTGAGAAGGTGTGTTCTGTCTTCTTTTAGACTCTGTCCCAGACACTTTTGGGGACTTTGGCAAGGTCTCATGAGCGGCTTCTCTGTAGGTGTCTCTTGCAAGGGTCCTTTCCTTCCAGGTTTTAAGCTCCTTGGAGAGCTGAGATTTAGCACTTAAATGGAAGCAGAAAGACAGGACATTTCAATTATTCTTCTTTTTGTTTTTTTGCGACAGAGTTTCTCTGTGTAACAGCCCTGGCTATCCTGGATCTAGCTCTTACAGACCAGGCTGGCCTTAGACTCACAGAGATCCGCCTGTCTCTGCTTCCCGAGTGCAGGGATTAAAGGCGTGTGCTACCATTGTTTGGCTGACAACTCAATTCTTAAGTGTGGAAATGGAAAAAACCTAAAAAGAACCCTACCCTACTAAAATATTTACCATGAAATGTGCCTTGTTCCATTTGCTCTTTAATCTCACCCTAATGCTCTCTGTCTGGACACTTCCATGATTCAGAAGTGAAAAGGTGCTACACAAATTGAATAATTAAAGTAAAATTGTTTTTTTTTTTTTTTTTTTTTTTTTTTTTCAGGGTTTCTTTGTTTCCCTGGCTATTCTGGAACTCACTCTATAGACCAGGTTGGCCTAGAACTCTGATCGGCTTGCCTTTGCCTCCCGAGTGCTGGAATTAAGGGCATGTGTCACCACTGCCCAGTAAAAATTTTTGATTATGAAGTTTTGAGAAAAAAAAATTTTTTTTTTTTTTAAATTCAAAGCTTAACTTCAGGTTTTTTGAACAAATCCATACCATCCAGAGTGGCTTATGAGCTGCTGTAATTAGGTTGACAGAATGTTTATTGAACCTTTACACAAGTATATTTTCATCTATCTTATTTTCTCTTTACTTTCCCGGTTGCTACTTCTCTACCTCCCTGAATCAACACACGACTGGATTCCACCTTCAAAATGTAATTTAAATAACCCACAGCTGCTTTCTGTTTTTGCTGAGACAGGGTCTCAGTAGGTTCTAATGGCCTTGTGAGTTTCCTATCTTTGCCTCTTGAATTCTGGGATTGTAGTCATACAGTGTTTGGCCCTTTCTTTTTGCTTAATGTTACTCTATATAAAAGATTATTTAGCTGTTAAACCATTTGCCCTGGATATTTTACTCATTTCTGTGGTGCTGGGGATGGAAGCCAGGCCTCGTGCTTGCTGGGTGAGCATCCCGCCATTGAGCTAGCCCTTTAGACTTAATGTGTGGTTTTCTTCTGGACCACTAGGAGAGTGTTCGGTACAAAACTCTACTCTTGTATGGTAGAAGAAGCCAACGAATGCAACGCTTTACATCTGTCTGTAAATGGGGACAATAATGGACTCGGGGGTCCTCTGTGGGCCACAGCTTCACTGACTGCGACAGATATTTTCTCAACATTCTTCATTTCCTGGTTCTTGACCTAGTTAAAAATAGTTCAGAACAGCTGGGAAGATGGTTTAGTGGGTAACGTACTTAAGTTTAATTCCTAGAATCTGAGTAAAAAAAAAAAAACAGCTGGCTGCACAGTACAAATCTGAATGTCTGCTGGGGAGGTGGAGGCACGAAGTTCCTTGGGGTGAGCTGGTCAGCCAGGTCTCAAACATGCCGGAGAAGTACCCGAGTGAGACACTCACACTGACCTCTGGCCCCACATCACCAGTGTGCACAGTTAATGAACAGCACACGTGAAACGGAGCCAGTATATTCCCATTTAATTTCCTTTCCCCTTGACAGGGTTCTCTGTGCAGCCCTGGCCATCCTGGAACTCGCTCTGCAGACCAGGCTGACCTCAAACTCAGAGATCTGCTTGTCCCTGCCTCCTGAGTGTTAGAATTAAAGGCATATGCCATCACTGCCTGGGTATTCCCATTTCTTTTAACATAAGCATTTATTACACAATCTCTAAAAATTGCCATCTCTCAAATTAGTGGAAGGTTGACAACTGTAGAAAATATATGCAAATAATTCCAATATATGTAGCCATAAGCAGGATATGTCATGCAAACAAAACTTGTCTTTTTTGTTTGTTTGGCTTCTTTTTTGTTCATTTGTTTTCTTATGTTTTTTGAGACAGGCTCTCTCTATTAGGTAGCCCTGGCTGTCCAGGAACTTACTATATAATCCAGGCTGGCTTTGAACTCAGAGATCTGTCTGCCTCTGCTTCCAGAGTGCTGGGATTAAAGGCACGCACCACCACACCTGGGCTTAGAACTTACCTTAATAATTGACTCTTTTGCTTTATTAGCTGTTCATTTTGCTGCTTTAGCTTAGAAATTTCATTTTCCATCCTTACATATTCACTTTTCAGAATAAGAGCTTTTGTGTTTTGTACAATCCCGCTGCCACCTCCACAGGTTAAGGGTTTACTGGAAAGCTGAGAGCTCGGCTCTGATATAACTGAAAGAGACAAACACACACAGGTTGATACTCTTTCTTTTGTAAGAAAACAAAAAACAGTAGGTGTTTCTGTGTTTCCCAGGCTGGCCTTGAACTGGTACCAATCCTCCTGAACGCTGGAATTAGGCCCTGTGCTGCCATGTCTAGCCAGGCAGATAATCCTCATTAGCTCTGATGTTCAAAAAAAGAAATATTAAAACTGCAACAAGCCACTAAAAAAGCATTTCCTGGACATTACCGCTGATTTTCTGTTTCTTCCCAGTCTACCTGACCACCACTCTTCCTTTCCCTACGGTCCGCCCCTGCTGGTTACATCACTGCACCCTCCACCCCAACTGGGCAACAGCAGCCTTTTACAGTCAGAGCCATTCTGAGTTGGTTCACGTTCTGGTCACTTGCTACCTTGCTGCAGGTCAGGCAGAGACTGCCGCAGAGTCACTCAGTACATTGCAAGTTCTCCACATCTTAACTAAACACACCTTCAGATGGAAGTACCATGACAGTATTGTGAACAAAACTATAGAAACGGAGGTATTATTATCTCAACAATTCATTAGGTTACCAAAGTTCATTAAAGAGACACAGAGGGCATCTTAGGAGATTAGTGATGTACATTCTTATCATTCAGGTGCAATACCGGCAGACATTTCTGAAAATCAGAACTGCACCTGTATCCCAGCCATGAGCATCTCGTTAGATGCAGGAAAGGCCCTTGATGAAATTCAGCCTTCCTTCATGATAATTGTTCTGGAGAGACTAGGATAGGAGGGACATATCGCAAAAAAATAATGGAGTCTATAGCATCCCCACAGCCATGGTCTTGGGGAATAAGAGAGCAATCCCAGACACTGTTACTGAGATCATGAACAAGACAAGGATGTCCACTCTCTCCCCTCCTGTTCACTCTAGTGTTACAGGTCTTACTGAGAGGAACAAGACAACTGAAGGAGACCAAGGGGATATAAATAGGAAAGGAAAAAGTCCAAGTATCCTTATTTGCAGATGATATGATTTTATTTATAAAAGACCCTAAAGATCCACTAGGAAATTTCTACAGTTGGCAAATACTTCAGCAAAGTAGCAGGATATAAAACCAACATATAAAAATCAGTAAACTTTCTAAAAAAAAAAAAAATCTTAGAATAACCCTAATCAAACAAGTGAAAGACTTACATAATAAAAATTTTAAGACATTAAAGCTAGGCACTGAAGATGACATCAGAAGATGGAAACATCTCCTGTGCTCATGAATTAGTAGGATTAATATTGTGAAGAAGGCCATCCTACCAAAACCAATCTATAGATCGAATGCAATCCCCATCAAAATCCCAATACAATTCTTCGTAGAAATTGAAAAAAAAATAATCTTAAATGTCATATGGAAACACAAAAAATCTGAGCTAGCTAAACCAATCCTGAATAATGAAAGAACTGAGTTATCAACATTCCCAGATTTCAAATTAGCACAGGGCTAAATATACAGTAATAAAAATGGGATGGTATTGGTATAAAATCAGACATGATCATCAATGGAAAAGAATTGAAGACCCAGATCTAAGTCCACAAACCTATGGATAGTAATACTCAGTCAGCATTCTTCCTCTAATGGAACACGTGACAGACATGAGAAAAAAGCTGCTGCGGAGCACACACAAAGAAACTCGGTCCTTCAGTCTCTAAACTATGTCTGTGGCAAATTTTGGTTTTCATGTAATTATGTATATTATCAGTCTTATGAGCAGACAGGCTAATGTTTACTCACTGTTATTATGTAGCCATTTTAATTTCTTAGTTGTATGCATATAGCTATTACCTGATTGGATGTATTTGATTTTAATTGGGAAGTAAGTTTCCCCTTGATAGTTAAGTCATTCTCACACTAGTCAACACTTCAGTAATATGCAAAAACCTTAATTATGTAAGAGGGAAACTCACCCTCAAGAGTCTACAATGGACAAGCTCTTGGTACTGTAATACTAGCAGTAACATGACTGACGAACGGTGGACCAGTGCAGGCTTAGTACTGGACGTCATGTGAACAACTGGAGTCCTCAAAGCCTGTATGTGCCTTGAGGAGTTAAATGGAAAGGACCTTAAGATGTATGTGTTCTTGCTAAGTTCACAGGCCTCACAAAATGAAGCGGCAATCATGGAGCCTGTGCTCATGGGATCTGTGCTAGGTTCCCTGCATATATGTTATGGTTGTTAGTTTTGTGGGTTTTTTTTCTCTTAACTTTAAGTAGTCACTTTTATTTTGATAGGATCACCTAACACTGTTCTCTTAGAAATTTCCAACACACAATAGTGTTGTTAACTACAGCTCTCATGATGCTCATTAGGGATTTAGATTTCTCACACAGAACTGAAACCCTGCACCTTTTGGCCTGGTTTCTAGTAGCTGTCACCCCACTTTCTGTGTCTGTGTATTCAACTCTTTCTGCATACATAAGCAAGACTTATGATGCCTTTCTGGGTCCAGTTTACTGAATTTAGTATGATGTCCTTCAGTTTGTATAAAAATTATTTATTTTATACCCCAACTGTAGTTTCCCTCCCCCACTTCCCCTCTGAGACTCCAGTCCTCCTTCGATCCACTCGGTTCTTTCCAGAAAGGCCTCCCATGGTGTCAATAAAGCATGGCATAGCAAGCTGAGGTAGGACTAAGTAAATCTCCTTGTGTTAAGGCTGAGCAAGGCAACCAGTATGAGAAATAGGTTCTCAAGAGTCAGCCAAAGACCAGAGACCACCCTGCTCCCACTGTTAGGAGTCCCACAAATAGCTTGGTGTTCTTTGGGGACTCCTAAGGTGGGACTGGGAGTGTCTCTGACTCTTACTCTTGGGCCTCTTTTCCTCTTACTGGGTTGACTGGTCCAGCCTTGATAGGAGGGTGTGTACCTAGTCTTATGGTGACTTTTTATGCCATGTTCAGTTGATATCCTTGGGAGGCCTGCTCGCTTTTGAAGAAAGAGGAGGAGTGGATCTGGGGGAGAGAGGTAGTAGTGGTCGGGAACTCGAAGGGATGGAGGGAGAGGAAACTGCAGTTGGAAGGTTTTATGAGACCAAAAAAAAAAAAAAATCTGTCTTTTTCAACTTACTAGAGGTATCCTGGGCCTGTTGGTTTCTTCTGAGGTTTTCTCTCAGCAGCCTTATTACTTCTTTCTGATGGTCAACAGTGGCTTTTGTAGAAAGAATTCTAACAAGAATAAAATAGGGAAAATATATAAGGGTCCAAGTGATTTTATAGAAGACTTTCTGATTTGATATGCCACGTTGATGTAACAGGGTCAGCCCCTGGAATATAGCTCGGCTCTCATGGCTACACCCAACTATTCTGTTCGGTTATAGGAACAGTCCAGCTTTACTACTGAGAAACTAATTAATTTCAAACTTTTAGAAACATAATAGGCATTAGTTATATACTGAACAAAATTATTTTTGGACACTATGAGCTCTCCCCACGGGGAGACATAAACAGAAACTCACCAGGGAGTGAAAAGGAACAGAACAACAACAAAATCAGAGCACCAATTCCCATCCTGCCAGGACAGCAAATCTTCACTGCAGATGATGTCAGCAGAAGCGGAAGGTCAAACTCTGCACTGCTCCCCAGGAACAGCCAGCAATTCAAGAATTAATCAGAAATAGTAAACTATAAGCCTGTCTTAAAACTTGTACTGTTCTTGAGCTGGAGAGATGGCTCAGAGGTTAAGAGCACTGGCTGTTCTTCCAGAGTTCAATTCCCAGCAACCACTTGGTGGCTCACAACCATCTGTAATAAGATCTGGTGCCCTCTTCAGGCCTGCAGGCATACATGCAGGCAGAACACTGCATACATAACATATAAATAAATCTTTTAAAAAATTACACTGTTCTTAAAAACTGTGAAAAGAGTGCTGAGCATTGTGGCATAGACCTCCAGTCCCACTGAACAAGTGAATCTCTGGGTCTGAGGCCAGCCAGCCTTGTTTACAAAATGAGTTCTAGGACAGACAGGGATACACAAAGAAACCCTGTCTCAAAAAACCAAAAACTATGAAAATATATGCTGACTGTATTCTACAGGTATGCTATTATGTGTAACAGGACACACAGTTAAGTTGGTAGAAAGATATGCTGTACTGTCCTAAATACTAAAAGAAAACACTCGTGCACACTCAGAAAAGCAAAGGCTCTCAATATTCCCCCTGCAGGATGACCTTTAAGTTTTTATTCAGCTATCAATTGAGTCAGAATCATCAAAGACACCCGGCTAAACGAGTGGAATCATGTTTGGTTTCTTCAGCACTGGGGACTGAAACAAGGACCTTGTGTGTGTTAGGCAAGAACCTTACCACCAGTTACACCACAGCCAGAACTGTGCCTAACTGTTTAACAGTTTGCGTATGCAATTACAATTAATGAGCTTAAAACCTATGGGTGCTTATACATTTTTTAAATATAAAAATATTTTTACAAATTACTTTCTAAAAAGTAAAGAAATGCAAAGATATTTGTGGAGTTATAAAGAAGTGCTAAGTGACTAAAGCCACATTCAACAAAGGCAAAGACAGACATACTCCTTCTCAAATTCTTTGGCATTTTCCTTCTTTTCTAGGTCAATTTTCACCAGCTGCATTTTGAGATCCTCAATTTCTTCCTTATAAGGCAAAGCTCCTAAAGCAACTTTGTCCTGTCACAGAAGAAAAATAAAGGAAAAACAATGATTAGTTCTGTTTTTGCCAGCTCTAAAGTGCTTGGTTACCTTTCATGAAAGATAACAAAGGTATATATCCCTATATCTGACATGAAGTTTATCTGAAACTATATATAAGCAAATACTGTTTCTTTCTTCAAGAAAATATTCTTCCCAATGAACAATGGGACATAGTTTAGCAGATGAAACAGAAGAGTTGAAAGAAATGAGATGGGGGCCGGCGCAAGGGCTCAGTGGTTAAAAGCCCAGCTGTCCTTGAGAAGGACCCTGGCTTAACCTCCAGCACCCTCGGAACAGCTCACAACTGTAACTCCAGCACCAGGCAAGTGGGTGGTACAGACACATATGCAGGAAAAACACTCATGCACATGAGAGACAGAATGAAACAAGGAGCCAAGGAACACTGGGCAGAGGAAGGAAGAGCGGCAGTGTGGGCACAGCAGATGAAAGCCCGAGCCACAGAACTCCCGGTGTTTTCTATCGGGACAGTTCAGTGACACAAAGATAGTCATTTTGACTTGGAGTACATATAACCTTACATGTCTGCAGAGGTATGTATCTTTTTAAAAAATCGTGACTATACTTGAATGTTTTCTCCATTTCCTTCTTTGTGGGGTGGGGTGCACACACATGTGCCATGGCTTGCAGGTGCAGGCCACAGGACAACCTGCAAAGTCCGTTCTCTCCTTCCGCCCTGCGGATTCTGGGGATCAGGCTCTGGCAAGCATCCTTACCAACTGAGCCGCTTTGCAGGCTCTTCTATTTTCAGAGTTTCATTTAGGTTTACAGAAAAACTGAAAGCACGGAAAACTCACAGGCCTTGTCCCTTTTCTTCTTACTTAGTACTAAATGGCGCAATAAATAGGACAGCACATTTTCTACACGTGAACTAATATTGCATCTTATTTAACTGTTGAGATAGGGCCTCACTGTGTAGCCCTGGAGGTCCTGGAACTTACTATTTAGATCAATATGGCTTCGCTACAGAGATCTGCACGTCTCTGAGCACTGGCACTAAAGGTTCGCACCACCACCCCTGCCCTGACACTAATGCTTTTATGTTCTTTAGATTACCCATGTTGTACTTTTTTTTCTCTCTCCTTCCCCATTCCTGGCAAACTCTAATCATTTTACGGTTCCCTAGTTTTGTCTTCCCCGGAGTACATATCTGAAGTCTTTCTAGAAGGAGGGACCCTTCTAAGATGGCTTTCACTTAGCCGTTGTGTCTTTCCATGACTCCAGCTTTTTAAAAACAGAGTCTTTCATATTCTTGATGCGCTTCAGTCCACGTTTATTTGTGGGCGGCTACCGTGAGCTCGGTTACACAGGAAGGCAACTGATTTGTGCTGATTTTGTATCCCATGACTCTACCAAAGGTGTCTGTAAGTTCTGAGATTTTATGGAGTCCTTGGGTCTTCCGTGTATAGAATCACATCATCACATGAGCGATACTTAGTGACTTCTTTTCCTATTCATACCCCTTTCTTTCCTTCTTATTACTTTAGCTATACTGAATAACAGTGGGGAGAGAAGACACCTGTCTCTGATCTTAGTGGGAATGGCTGGAGCGTTTTTCCTTCAAGTATGATATTGGCTATAGGTTTGCCATGTCTAGTCTTTTATTAATCGTGGTATGTTCCTTCTGTCCCAGGGTGATCTAGGACTTGCTCTGTAGCTGAAGACGACTTTGAACTCCCGAATCCCATTTTCCAGGTGCTGGGATTACAGGCTTGTGACACCAATGCTAGGGATGGAACCCAGGGCTTCCAGCTAGCCAGGAAAGCCCACTATCATCCTTAGCCCTCTCATCACTTTTTAATAGTAATAGTCTATCCTCACTGTACAGACACACAGAATGCGCCCATGGATCTTCTTTTGAGAGTGTGCAGTTTATTCTAAGTTTTGCTCATTTCATATCAAATTGTTTGATTTCCTTTCTGTTATAAGAGCTGTTTCTTTTTTCTTTTTCTCTTCTTTCCTTCCTCCTTCTTCTTGTATTTTGGGATTTTATCAGATAAAATATAGTTTTTCCCTGTCCGTATTCTTATTACTTTAGCTATACTGAATAACAGTGGCCAGAGTCTTTGGAGAGCAGAACTTGTGAACAGTAATACAGTCTGATCTGTTTGTGTTTCATTCTATGTAAAGAGTCCTTGCCTAGACTAAGGTGACACGTGCTTTCTCCTGTGTTATTTTCATTATTCTTTTATAATGTGCGCTGTCACTCCTGGCTTATGAAATGTCTGGGTGTCCAGTATCGATATTTGGTGGATCATCCTCTCCACTGAGGATGTCCTTTTCTCAAACATCACATGGCTGCTTTTGAGTATGTCTGTTTTAGGCTCTCTGTTCTATCTCACTGATCTGTTTGACTATATACTGTTTTAAAAGTTCAAACAAACCAATAAGAAAATTTCAATATATGGCAAAAGTGTAGAAATTTCAGATGGTCTTTAGCCAAAGACAGTAAACAATTCTTGCCCCAGGGAAATGAAAATTGGAAAAGCTGATTCAGAAATGAGCAACAGAACTCTGTGTGGCAAATACACCACCTGTGGTCACAGTCATGCTCACGAGCCCACCAGCCTCCAAGTGTTCAGTGTTAGTAATTGAAAGCCTGAAGTAGAAGTTCCTAGCTAATGAGTCTTATTGATTCTGGGGCTGGAGAGATGGCTCAGGGGTTAAAGGCTAGGCTCATGACCAAAATATAAGATTGGGTGATTCTGTTAACTATTCTTACACTAGAAAAACAGCCCTCTGTGCTTCTGACCCGAACCACACTAGACTTAGACATTAATAATGGAAGGGGCCGGGAGGCGGCTCAGCAGTTAAGGGCACATCTGCTCTTCCCGGCACTCACAGGCTCCTGAACCTCCTGCTCCAGGGGATCAGTGGCTCTGGCCACCTAAGGCACCTGCATTAGCCCCCCTCCCCCCAGCTAAAAAAAGAGAAATGAGGAAAAGACTCCGGAACAATCCCTACAGCTTCATTTCAGCTGACTGGGATACGGTGAGCTTCCTGTTTTACGGCCCATTTTCAATCCTAATTCATTCTTTCCACACGCTCTTACTTTTGGTTAAGGTTCAAGCATTTTACTTTAGTTTTTGTGGTCTTTGTAATCTCTGAAAAGGCAACTGCTTAGGATGGCTATAAAGGTCTAGTATAGTTCAGATTTTAAACATATTCATTTCTATCTGATCTGAGCAATTTGTAATGATACAAGAAGAAATTTCCACGATTTTATTCAAATTACGTTCTTTCTTTTTCAGTTAGTGCTCTATTACCTTAGATGAATGTATGCAGAGGATAAAATTAATATCCTTAAAAATAGAAGTAAGTACTTTTGGAGACTACAGATTTAAAAATATGATTTTTAAGCAACAATTTAAAAAAGTAAAACTATGAAAAAAGTTTATGGATCTCTCTTCAGGGTGGAACAAAACCATATCCTGGTACATCACCCAGGCTAATTCTGCTGGCTTGAAGTATCCCTGTTGCCTGAGGCAGTCTAAACCGAGTTTTGACAAAATGTGCGGCTCATTCTACTTTGAAATTCTTTTTTCCAGTATATTAAAAATAATCAGGATTTTACATGCAAATACACCACCACATTTCATTTTGCCACTTCCTTTTGAAGTCTGAGCTCTTACACCGGTATTGTGGTGAGGCTGTGATAAGAGGGGGAATAGAGCATCTGAATATTTGCTAAGCCCAACAGGCTGAACGTTTGTATTTACGAACCTGGCCTGACCTACCTGAAGCATCTGCAGTGTGGCTTTTGTGTGTTCAAGGCATTTTTTTGACTCATGAACTTCGCTCTGGAGTTTTGCTACCAAGTCCTTAGACATTGCTAGTTCTTTCTGCATCTTTGCAATCTGACCCTCCTTATGAAGGGCAGTTTCTTTAGCTTCTTGTAAAGAGGTTTCCAGCTCCTGAATTTTCTGTTAGAGAAAGCACAAATCCACAGGGCAAAGCCACAGTATGTTATATGAGACAAAAATGATCATCTGTAGCTACGTATTGAGTTTTCACAGATTGAATCAACCAATAATGAGAGGTTAAAACGGCTTAATTTATCCAAGTACAAGTCCTTTTAGAAAATGATACTTCACATATTAAAAGAATGCCAAAATTTCACATTATAACCTGTCAGCAAGTTCTTGCAAATGAGAACACAGCAGTCACACGGCACACTAGCTAGCAAAGTTCTAAGCACATTTAGTAGTCGAGCATCTTTTAAATAAACTTGGACCTTCTAAAGTAATTTAAAGGTGAAATATATGAAAAAAAAACCAACCTCAAAACAATAATGAAAATAAAACCTCCCCAGATCCTCACCAAGGACTAGAAAAACATTTTCTAGTATCCCCTCACCCTTAGAAAACTTCAGAGCAAGAATAAGCAAGTATAAAATTTATAAAAATGGTCAACTATACCCAATGAACTATACCCAATGAGTTATACTTGGGGGAAAAACCTGTGATCTTCTAGTTTCTAATGGCATACATCAGGCTACTGGTTGACGTTGTATATTAAGTATTTATTTTGGTAAAAATGATAGATTATAATTGACTTTTGGTTTCCTACTAAGACATTTTGCATTGTAACAAAACACAGTAGCATATTTGCTGTTGCTAAAAATTCCCAAGCAAAGGCAGCTAGCTAACAGTCTACCTGGGTTGTTCAAATGATACTGATTCTTACACACATTAGTTTGCTTAACAATTCTGTTATACTTTGAGCCTCTTAGCTTTTTACGATAATAGTCAATATTCAAGACAATAGCTAAAGGTAAGCTAAACTTATTTTCTCTAAGCTTGTTTTCCACATATAGTTTAACTGAAATTCATACGCTTTAGGAAACTTATAGCATCCTGTAGCAATACCACACACAGCATAAACTACACTGCATAACCTGCATTATAGTCTTTAAACTTCTGTTTCCTAACTCACAGGAAAGACCTCGCATGATACCAAGTTTCATTATTAGCTGAATGGTGCCTGCAGTACAACCATATGCACATATCTGTACAACAGTGTATTCATATCTAGTGGTTCCATTAAAGCTACACATTTGCTCTGAACGCTGGGAAGTTCGTACCTCTGATGCTAGTTGGTCACTAACTGGTGCAGCACGCGGACTTCTGCTGTCCCGGGCGAAAGGGTGGGCGGCAGGATAAGCGTGGGCAGCCGCCTGGGAGGCGGTCAACGTCTGCCAGTCTTTAGATAGTTGTTCAGTTTTCTCTTTCAGAGATTTCAGGTAATGTTCTAATTCTTTGGATCTTGTGGCATTTCCTTCCTCAAAGTCTGTGAATTTGTTTATCATGGCCTATGAACAGAAAGAGCCCACCACAGTTTAAAATAACTTATACACTGCAGTCACAGTAAGAAAAGCAGTGGAATTCCAGGTCAGTGCACGCATGTCAGATGCTAAGAATGGTGTGGCTAAAGTAGGGGCTCGACAAGATCTGTAAGGTGACTCACTTCATTAGGCTTAGAGTAACAGGAGGGGACTGAAGAACTATGCAGGTCAAAGTCATTACAGCAGAGCGCACGCAGGAACCCTAACAATGACCTACTTTCCCCATTTTTTTCTTTTTCTTTTCTTTTTTTTTTTACGTTCCCCATTTCATTCCAAACCTCAGCCCAGAGAAAATGACTTACTGATGCCAACCCCCTTTTCCATGTGCTGGGATGTTTTCCCTGTGTGTGTGTCTGGTGCTCATGGACATCAGAAGAGGCCACTAGGTCCCTTGGAACTGGAGTTACAGACAGCTGTGAGCCACCATGGGGGGTGCTGGGAACTGAAACAGGTCATCTGGAAGAGTAGCTAGTGCTCCTAATGGCTGAGCCATTTCTCTTGCTCCAATTTACTGATTTTTACTATTAATCTATAAATCTCATATTCCTGTGTAGAATATACTCTTTTCCACTGAAGACTGGCTGACACGGGTTTGAAGGGAATGTCATAATACAGTAAGAAGCTGACGGGGTGCTCAACACCAGATGTGAGCTAGAAATTCACGACTGGTCAGATGTGTCATTTTGGTATAGGATCTTGGTAATAGGAGAGGCTATCTCTAGGGATGGAACATATGAGAGTTCTCTGTATTAACATGTAATTTCCCATTAAATTAACTGAGAACAATACCGACACACATCAAAGCAAAGCAGCAGGTGGCACCTCTGGGACATGCAATCCGCAACCCGGGACTGCAGCAGGTGGTGTGAGGCTGACAAGCCCCGGATGAGCCCAGTCAGAATCGTCTGTGGCTTTGCCACGGCGGCTGCCCACAGCCTTAGCAGAGATACATCTCAGTCTCCCTGAGGCCACCAGGCCAAAGGCTCTACCCTCGAGAGCACTGAGCGGAAAGTGAGAAGAGACCAGGGAGGAGAGACAAAATCTCCCGAGTGGGAACTCGGTGTCACATGTGAACAGCCTGCCACCTTCCCAAGCACAAACTGGTTTAATGATCCTTAAGAAGCATAACATAATAGAAGAAAAAATTTTATATAATCAAAATGTTCACAGAGCCCTGACATATAAATTAAAGAAATATAAGCTAGTCTAAGCCTTTTAGAAATGAGGAGAAAAAGCAAAGTATAGAAGAGCCTGGATGATGAACAAGCATACTCACGGCTATTTTGCTATTGTAGAAGTTATTCATTTGGCAAACGCTGTTGTTTTCTTCTTGGATGCCACTTTTAAGCTGCTCTGTATCAAAAGGAGTATTCAGCCACTTTTTCAAAAACCGAGTCATTTCTTTCTTATTACTTAGTACTTGCTGAAATTCAGTTTTTATGGCAGGAAAGTCATTTTCTGAAAAATCCTTGAGAATTTCCTGTGTCAAAAATAGGTATCAAATTATATGAACATTAGGAAAGATTTCATCCAAATAACATATAAACTATAAAAATATCATAAAGGAGAGAAATACCTACTGTACTCTACTTATTAGCACATTAAAGTAAGTGAATTCTAATTGAAACCTTTATTCTGATTACTTGCATAAGACAATGTTGGTAATATACTCTACATGACATTCTATGTACATGGCAGGCCTTACATGTGTGTTAGGAACCGCAGCCAGTTCCAACATCGCTGGGAGAACAAGAAAGTCCTTATGGTACTGATACAGGGAAGATTCTGACTTCTGAGTTCTCACTTGCTGACATTAAATCTATTTTCTGTCTATGCAGGTCTGACAGCGTCTAAAGGGTCGTCCAGTTCGCTATCATTCGGTGAGTTACTAGTCATTTCAAAAGGTATCTATTTAAAAAGGGCTTAAAATCATATTAAAGCCATTAGAAAAGTATATCTCAAAGGAAGTCAAGATCACGATGAAGAAATCTACAGACAGCTGAACCATGAACTCATGAACTCTTACCCAACAGCTGTGGAGCCCCATGTGTGGGAGACAGCTGTGAAGCTTAGACTATCTGAGGGGCCCCCGACAGTAGGACCAGGACCTATCCCTGGTGCATGAGCTGCCTTGTTGGAGCCCATTCCTTATGGTGCTATGCCCAGCCTTAATGCAAGGGGGAGGGGCTTGGTACTGACCCAAATTAATGTGCCAGACTGTGTTGACTCCCCTTACCTGTTGGGAAGAGTGGATGGGGGCTGTGCTGGGGGAAAGTTAAGGGGGGCTGGAGGAGGGGTGGAAGGGAGAACTGTGGTTGGAATGTAAAATGAAATTAAATTAAAAAAAAGGTATACCTCAATATGGAGGTCCATATCCTGGCTCAGTGTGAGGTTCTCCAGGTCTTTGGATGGAATATCACAAGCCCGCTGAAAGCTCCGTATTTTAGTCCACAGTTCATGCTGCTTTTCCACTTCCTGGACAAAAGCCACTTCGAATTTATTGATGAACTCATGTTGCTCTTCCTTTATCTTTGTAATGTGGCTCAACACGTACTTGAAGAAGATAAATTGAAAAATGAGACATTGTATTTAGAGGCATTTTCAGTGTCTGAGGTGGCGAGGCCTCGTGTTTACTGTTTATACTGTGGTAGATGACGACGATGCAGGAAGCAGCTACTCTTTATCCACAATTTCTCTTCTCTGCCCTCTGGGAGAGCAGCTCTTCCAGACTGCTGCTTCCTTGTTTGACTTCCTATGGGATTCCTCATATTGAGTGATTTTGTCACATGACCCTTTCTATAAGCTCTCTTTTTTCTAGTAGTTCATGTGTGTGAATAAACGTGTCCATGGACCCCTGAGGACTGCAGCTCAGGTGGCTGAGTCACAGGCTGGTGTTGGGAGACCACTGGGTCCTCTGGAAGAGCAGCCAGGGTCTCAACACCGAGATCTCTCTCCAGCCTTATTACATAACTTTTGGTTAAACTGCCAATCTGCTGTCCGACATTTGAGATAAAAAAAATTCATTTTATATAAAATTACATGTATATGTGTGGGTATGTGCACATGAGTTTAGTAGGTGTCCACAGGGTCCAGAAGAGACCTTCAGAGTCCCTGGAGCCAGTTTCAGGTGTTGTGAGCTGCTTTGACCTGGGTGTTAAAAGCTGAATTTGGGTCTGTGAAGAAACAGTAAATAAGCCTTCTCTCCAGTCCCATTTTGGATTTACAAAATATTCTCCTAATAATCTTGTTTGATTAACTCCCCCCACCCACCCATCCGTCATGTCCCATGCTTCATGATTTCTTTGTTAAGCACATTTAGATGTCCGGCCTTATGTCAATGATAATTTTAATGCTACAGTGGTCCCCAACCTCATAAATCTTGGTTATCTGACAGTCATGATCTGTGAGAGGATTATCAAGTAAAAAACTCTATACACCCTGGGAAGTTCCATGATACACAAGGAGCCCCACCAGGGCTCTAGAAGCAGGAATTACCTGCTGGAGTGAGTAACTGACTCTGGGCAGCTATGCTGCCGAGGGCTTCCTTAGATTACTGAACCACCTCCATGTCGAGCAGGAGGCCCCAGGGATGCAGCTTTCCTGAGTCATCACCCCTTGGGTGGGCTTTCGGCCAATGTGGTGGTTCTGAGTCATCCCCGAGTACCCCTCTAAACTGTAACCCCAATTAACTCATTGGTTTACCAAGTTGGATATTGGTGCAATTGTGATTTTGGTCTGTCGTGGATTCCCTATCTGGGGTGAACAGACCTGTATTACATATCCTCAGGAAAACTATCACATAACATGTTGTCCGTACCTCTATGACTGCACTTATAACCAATCACAAGCCTGCCTTACTTGATCATGACATCTTTGGGATGGGACTCATGTGGACTCTGAGTATCCTTAAACAGTGTTTAGGCCAACAGGCAGAGCTCAGGCTTTGCTGAACGAATCCTAGCTTCAGATCCATATTAATTTGGTGGTTAATATAAAGAGTATCCATGGTAACTCCCAAGACTTAAATACATTGAAATATACAATTGAAACTATAGTATAAGGCCAATACTAAAAAAGCTGGTACCTTAAGTTTCTTCAGGATTCTGTGGAATTCCATGAAACATCTCTGGTTTGCAGTAAAAAGCTTTTCAATCTCTTTGGTTTGTGGGTATGGAAGTGAAAGCTTTGCTTTTATAGAAATCACCAGCTCTTTTTGGGTTTTAGTTTCCTTTTCCAAGTCAAGAGAGAGTCGATTCAAGCACTCATAATCATCACCCATTTCTGAGTATCCTTTCAGAAGCTCCTAAAGGAAACCCGAATTCGTGTTAATGAATATTGGAATTGTAACAAAATGTAACACTGTAATACCTTCTATTGGAAAAAAGAAATGAAGAACTTCTGTTTAAAAGATATAATTAGTGATTTTTAGATTATAGAAGCAATGTATAACAATACAAAAATCCAACTTTTCTGGCTGATGTTGATAAAAGCAGCAAGAGTCTGTGCATGAATCAGCGACCGTGATTCAAACAGCCCCTCTCTCCTGTGCTGTAGTCTGTGATCTGTACACTGCTTCGACTTCTGCCTCTCTGTGATCTCTGTCTACATCACTAAAATTCATCTTTCAAAAGAGCTCAGTGGGCAGTGGTGCTCTCGCCTTTAATCCCAGCACTCGGGAGGCAGAGGCAGGTGGATCTTTGTGAGTTTGAGGCCAGCCTGTTCTACAGAGGCAGCCCAGGACACCCAGGGCTACATAGAGAAACCTTGTGTTAAGAAAACAAAAACAAAAAGAAAGGTTCTCTGGTTATATTCCACTTTCAATACTCAAATCTCTCCTTTCCAGACATAGGTCATGTGGCGTCTCTTGCAGCACAAGAGAACTCTCCAGTGGACCTCCTCCTACTCGAAGCAAACCTGAGTTTTTCCGTGGCCTCGTGGTCTCCTCCTCCATCAGCTTCGACCTTACTCCCTCTCACTAGCTTTCCTCTTAACACTCCTGGAACAGGAGGGAGCTTCTGCCTCGGGAGCTTTGTACGCTCAGTCTCCTGTCTACAGAACTCGTCCCCCAGAGCAAATCGAGCCATTACTGCTTTTAGAGATTTGCTCAGGATTACTATCCCACACGATCCTTAAAAAGCAAACCACACACTCCCACGGTGTCATTTGTACATATATGTGTGCACGTATATATGCATGCATCACTGTACTAGACTATACTGCTTAGGGAAACATCTGGTATGATCTATCTGCTATACACAGTTTCCTTTAATTCTCTTAGGCTTCACAGGACCTTTGGAACACACAGCTCCTACAGGAGCTCTTACTTTTATCCTGAGGCACTTTTCTTGAAGCTTTCTTGTTCCATGTTGTTCTCCATCACACAGTAACTCCTCTGCATGTTTTACTATCTCTTCATGATTCTGATGATCCTGGTACAAAGAAATGCATAGCAATAACTACGTCTACATAGCAAGTCTAACCATACATGCTTACGTCTTACAGCGGGTTTCTGTGATGGAATCAAATATTTCATTGTAATAGAACAGCCTTAAAATAGGCAAAAGGAAGTAATAATTACTGCCAAACTACGCAGGGATGACCTTACCTCGCTGAACTCACTCAATGCGTGCGAGAAGCACATGGCATCTAGAAAAGGACTTGCTGCTCACTAGCTCTTAGAGCTCCAGTTTTTTTTTTTAAAATATTTATTTATTATGTATACAATATTCTGTCTGTGTGTATGTCTGCAGTCCAGAAGAGGGCACCAGTCCTCATTACAGATGGTTGTGAGCCACCATGTGGTTGCCGGGAATTGAACTCAGGACTTTTGGAAGAGCAGGCAATGCTCTTAACCACTGAGCCATCTCTCCAGCCCAGAGCTCCAGTTTGTAACCTCTCAAATGTCCACATTAGAATCACTGTCACCAACTAAATATATCAGAGAACCCAAACCTTGTATGTTCTTCCACCTTGGGGTGGTAAGTCTAAATTTCTTTCATATTCTTTCTGCATTGATTAAAAAATACAGAACAGACATACCCTTCCTCATTAAACTAAGTCATTAGTTTAAGTTAGGCATAGTAATACCGAGAATATCTGCTTGATACAGATTTGCCAAACAAATTATGTCTGTTTGTAAATTTAGACAGGCGCCACATACGCTGGACTCCTAAGTGTTTAATGTTTATGATAATAGTACATGAGGCTTTTTACTTTACCCAGCAAATGTGAAAATAGAAAGTTACATATTTATTTTATATATCCAATTTTTCTAAATTTTATACTACTTTTTAGAGTAGTGAGTTTTAGAGTAGTGACTTTTAAAGATTATTCAGAAATAATGTCAAGAAAACTCTTTTAATCTCTACTTTGCTTTTTCCCTTCTAACTTCAGTAATGAAGGCTCACTTACTTCAAGAGTCTATCAATAGAGGAAAGGAGGCATCTACTCTGTCGCAGATGTAGTCTATGAGCTGGTCTTCCACCTACGGCAAAGCTAGTTTCTTTCTGTGGTTGTTGTTTCAGAAATTTAGAAGGAAAATAGTATCTAACAAATCTTTTTTTAAAGATTGAAGAATTTAATTTTCTGAAAAGCACTGTGACTTTTATGCTTCCTTTCTGTGTTATAATTATGGCATGTTTCTTACAACTTTCATTATCTACAGACATTTCCAAAAAGAAAATAAAAAAAGAGGAAAAAATCCAAAACAAAACCACAACACCCAAATCCAGATAACACACACTGGTGACCCCCCAGGCTTCGGTCTCAGAGCTGCTCAGCAAAGGCAGGTCTGAACTCACGCCCATATCACGTGTTTTAGAGCTTCTCGTTCCACTTGGATAGACTCTTTATCCTGGTTAGCTCCATTGTTTTCCTTGGCTACAATTCTATTGCTTTAAGGTTTTCATGAACTTTCTTAATCAAGTACAAGTTATTTTCACCCACACTTTGCACATAGAAATTCTGGGCCTCAAACTGCTTCAACTGCTCAATTTCCTTTTTTTTTTTTTGTTATAAACTTTATTGACATCTTTCTCTTTAAGAAGCTGAAGTTTTCTTCCTGAAGTTCTTGGCTCTTGAGATAATTTATAAAATAGATCAGAATAAAAATATTTCTTCACAGAAGGGCAATGCCTATTGTTGTGTATGTATACACACATAAACAGAGTATCTTTCGAAATCAATGGTTCAGGTTTTAACAGTGTTTGCAGTCTTGACTTTACTGAAATCCTCCCAAATTCAAGTTTTTGAGTTTCATGCTGGTGCTCAAAACCTTTCTAAAATTGAGCATTTCGGACACTAGACCAGAAATTCTTAGCCCATATTTGTGTATTTTATCACTGCTTCTAAGAGAATAAATACGCTCAAAGAAAAATATATGCTCAGTTAGAAACAAGCTCTTCAGTATGCTGGGGTACAAGACAGTCAAAGGAGCCGGGCTTTAATCCCAGAACTCAGGAAGCAGAGACAAGAGATCTCTGTGGGTTCAAGGCCAGCCTGGTCTATAGTGAGTTCTAGGACAGCCAGGGCTATAAAGAGAGACCCCTGTCTTGAAAAACAAACAAAACTCAAAACCAATACAAAAACAGACCAAAGGAACCAGCGTACAAGTTCTGACCCTATTTTCCCCACTCCTTGACTTGTTTTTCTCTTTCACTATCTTTTAAGGGCAGAGTCACATAAATAATGTGAGGCCTAGAATTCCATCATAGGGATGAGCCCTATGTAGCCAGTGCCTTGAAGGTGGATATTTGGTTTACTTCTAGATTTTGGTCACCACAAATCACTATCCAGAACAATGTATTTTTGCTAAATCAGTGAATATATTGGTTGGGTAAATTCCTAGAAGTGGTACTGCTGACGAATGAACTGCACGTACTGTAAGTTTTCAAAAACGCAATAAATATGCTCAGCAGTTAAGAGCACCTGCTGCTTTTTCCCAGTTCCAGGAGCTCCAAAACCCTCTGCTAGTTACTGCAGGTACCACACACACACACACAGAGGGAGGGAGGGAGGGAGGGATGAAGAGAAGGAGGGAGGGAGGGAGGGAGGGAGGGAGGGAGGGAGGGAGGGAGGGAGGGAGGGAGCTCATCTATGGATCCTGTACTTTCAAGTAGTGGTGGTTCCAGACAGGAAGAAGGAGCACAGCTCACCTTACGCATGCTGTCCCTTAGAGTCTCCTTAAGCTGGTCTCTCTCCATCTTGAGCATTTCCTCCATTCTCTTTAGATGATCTCTTTCTTTTATTACAGATTTCATTTCTTCAAGATTTTCATGAAGCTTCTGGGCCAGATTTAAATTATCCATCTCTATCTTACTCAGAGTTAAGCCCTGCTGCTTGAGTTGCTTTTGTGTTTCACTAGCATCTCCTTTTAACGCAAGAAGTTGAAGTTCATTTGCCTTAAGTTCTTGAATCTGGAGACAAGAAATCACATTAGGATGGACTTTTCAAAGAAAGCTTTATCTTTAACTTTTATTGTTTTACTTTACAGTTAAGGGTGCTTTGCCTACATGTATGTCTATGCACCATGTGTATGCCTGGTGCCCATGGAAGTCAGAAGAGGGTGTCAGGAGTCTCCTGGAACTGGAGGTAAAGGAGAGTTGTAAGCCACCAGGTAGTCTGTGGGAATCAACCCTGGGTCCTCTAGGAGAGGACTACTGAGCCATTTCTCCATCTCCAGAAAGCTTCATTCACTTTCCACTATGTGAGCGAGGTGATCATGGAGGGCAGAGGAATGGGAGCCTCTGGAGCTGGAGGGCCAGAGGTGCTGAGAACTCCTAACTGCAGGCCAGGATACAGACTGCTTTAAGAGAAGGCTGGAGCACAGCTTTGCTGGGAGTGGCCATGCATGCCCTAATTACAGTACTCTTGGTGGGGGAGAAAAGAATTGTCTCTAAACCGATTAAGACAGCAATCTTTCTATCTAATTTTTATAAATGATTCCTAAAGGCAGTTTTCTTTTGAGGTATAACACATAGAGAGTATATTAATCTTTTTTTTTTTTTTGAGGATCTCTCTGTGTAGCCCTGGCTCTCCTAGAACCCTCGCTATAGACCAGGTTGGCCTTGAACTCATAGAGATCCACCTGCCTCTGCCTCCCAAGTGTTGGGATTAAAAGCTTGTGCTACCACCACCTGGCTTAGTTATTCTTGATATATGCATGCATCTATAAAACCATAACCCAGACCAAACTAGACAGCATTTCCACCATCCAACATCTGTGCATCCTTTCCTTGAGGTTAATATAAGCCTGACCTTTAACACCCTGGTCTACTTTTGTTTCCTTTGGAACTTAAGATGACAAGGCAGTCCCCACTCACTCGCTGATATGCAGGCTGTTCTCACTGTTGTTGGCTGTGCAGGAGAATGGGCCTTGCCCTTTTCAGTACATACCCAAGGGAAGGAAATGCAGGCCTTACAGTGAGCGCTGCCGGACTATTTCCCAGTATGGAGAACCTTTACAACCCCAAAGGCTTTCAGACGTGAACAAACGAGATGCCCAATCAATACCTTTTCCTGTAATTTAATATTTGCATTTTCTAATTCCATTTTCATATTTGATATTTCATCTGTCTTCTTGGACACACTCCCTCTGAGTCTATCGATGGTTTCCTGGTGCTCTTCCAGGTCCATGTGCGCAATTCTTAGTTTCTCTTGCTTTTCCAGGTCCTTTTAAAACAGGAACATATCTTAACATTAAATAGCATTTTCAGAAATAAGTGTTTACCAGTGGACAGTTCTGTGGGTCTGTTTTCCCGTCCTTCTTTTACGTAGGTTCCAGAGAATGAACTCAGATTGTCAGGCCGGTGCAGCAAATGCTTCACCCAGTGAACCAAACTGGGGGGGGGGGGGGGGGGGAGAGAGGCTCTCACTACTTAATATTCTTTACTGTTAGAAATCCACAGACCTTTTCCTGATTGGGACATTGAGACACAGAATTTTGGCATATTGCTTGTATTTGCCATTTCTTCCTAAGATACCTTTAGGTTGTTTCTTTCCCATTTTTATCACAAACTGTTATAACCAAGCAGCACTGGGAACTACGTGTACATATGTTTATGTATACGCTCATCTGCATATACTTCTTTAACAACTGGATCAGTATATATCTAGGTTAAAAACTCCACAAAGAAACGCTGAATTCAAACAGCTGAAGAACACAAACCACCTGCCATTCCCGTCAGACTCAGTGCTGACCCACGCTGCCCAGATGATCTAGAAACCTGCTAGGGCAGGACAGAACTTACACTTGCTTCCATTTGTTGAAGACTTTTCCTCAATTGGTCTCGCTCTACTCTGAGGGCTTCATCCATAATTTTTAAGTCATCGTTTTCCTTGGTGACAATTCTTATTTCTTCAAGGTTTTCATAAACTTGCTGAGTCAACTTTAACTTCTCTATTTCTATGTTCTCCAGAGTTGAACTCTGGGCTCCGAGCTGCTTCTTCAATTGCTCCATCTGATCCATCCTTTCCCCGAGCTCAGCTTCTACCTGAGAAAGTTGACGTGCTTTTTCCTGAAGTTCTTGGCTCTTAAGACAACCATATAATAAGTTAGAGCACTGAACATATGAGCAAAAATCCCCAAACAACAGTCTTAAAATTCAGTCAGCAAATCATGGGCTTCAGATTTAGACAGGTTCACAGTTTACACAGAGGATCTGACTTCAGTTCCTGTCTATCCAGATTAAAAATACCCGGCTTCTAGAACAGCATGTGAGTGTACTAAGTCCCCTTGGATACGTGATAGTTCATCTACCTTATCAGACACACTCTCTCTGAGCTTGCTGATAGTCTCCTGGTGTTCTTGCAGGTGCACACGAGCAACTCTCAGCTCCTCTTCTTTTTCCAGACCCTTAATTATTAGGAAAAGAAAGAAGACAATGAAGAAAAACAGTTCAGACAGAAGCTATACCAAAGATCAAAGGCCTCCCAGTCCTCACTCTTGAGCTGCGGGATGTGACTACATATTCTAGATGAGCCACTCTCAGCTCACCTTTCCCCAGGAGACACTGCAGACACAGTGCCAGTCTACTTTGTTAGCTAAGGTACAGCACGCCGTGATCCAGATACGCTCTGTGTCTTTTACCAGTTCCCTATGAACAGAAAGTGTGAATCTGCTGCCTTTGCAGGACCGTGCAAATGTGTGCAGTGTAAAATGCTACAACTAGACTCTTGGGACAAATTGTACACTTTGCCCAGTGTCATTAGCACATTAAGCTGCATGATGGCGGAGAAATGGCAACTCACTCTAGTTACTGTCTCTTTAAGGCTCTCCTCCAGCTGGTCTCTCTCTACTGTGAGGCGCTCTTCCAAACTCCTAAGCTCATCTCTTTCTTTTGCTACAGATCCCATTTCGTCAAGGGTTGCATGAAGCCTTTGAGTCAAGGTTGCATTCTGCATTTCCGCCCTCTCCAGAGTTGCCTTCTGAGCCTCCAGCTGCTTGTTCAAGCATTCCACTTCATGTCCGCTTCCTTGGCTCTCATTAACAGTCTTCATTGCTAGGCATTCACGCTCTCTGTCCTCAAGTTCTTGGAGCTGAGAAAATAAGTTAGGTCACAGGTCCACAGAAGTGGATTTTGCTTGTTTTTAAAAGAAAGGCAGATGTTTTTACAGTTAGTCTAATGATGCTGTGCTTCTTTGATGAGATGGAGGGAACGAATAAGTACATGTCCTTTTCTATGTAACTGAAAGTCAGCATTTGCCTTTCCAAATCCAAGTACCTGCTGCTTGATCCACTTCCCCTTGAAACATCACTCGAACTAGTAATCTCTATGTCATCATGCAGATGACTACTACAGTTTTAGCTTCCCCTTTATTATCACAGAAAAATTAATAAAACTTAGCAGGTGACATCACAATCATCTTAGTCCTCGTTTTGTTTCTCCCAAATTAGCAGACTTACCTTAGCGCCAATTTCTTTCATGGTTTCTTTCTGCTGTTCGCTTTCCACATGGAGAGCCTCCTGTACTCTTCTGAGCTCATCTCTTTCCTTAGTTAGAAGCCTCACTTCCTCCTGACTTCCTTCTAGCTCCTTAGTCAGCTGGAGCCTGTCACTCTCCAGCCTCTGCAGTGTCGAGTCCTTGGCTAGGAGAAGCGCCTTGACTTGGTCTAGTTCATCCATCTTCCCTTGTGCCTCATTAGCTTCTTTTATATTAAGTTGTTCCTGCTTCTCACAGAGTTCTTGAACCTTAAAAAAAAATGAAATAAGTTATCAGCACAAAATATACAGGCACATGTGCACGCGTGCACAACACACACAGTCTCTTTCTCCTATTTTAATGAAAAAAAAAATATAGAACAGATTCCAAAATAAATGAGTATGTGAGCAGTAGTCTTCAAGTCAGCAACCCCCTTCTGGTCTCCTCCCCTGCTTCTCTCCCTCAGTTTACCTTTCTCTCTAGTTCATCAGTGGCCGACTCTAGTTGTGCATGAACACTTGACAGCTCGGTTTCCTTCTGGGAGAGGCTCGCTCTTAGTGCGTCAATATTTTTCTCTTGCTCTTTCAGGCAACAACGAGCAACGTTAAGTTCTTCTTCAGTTTCTAGATGCTTTAGTATTAGAGAAAATTCCAAGAAGTTTATGGAAATCTAACCATTACAGTATAACTACTTCCATTTTGAAAAGCTTTGCTTATAAAGCTCTTGAGAAATATAGAGCAAAGAGGAAACTCTGAGTTGTGACATCTCTGAGATGCTGTGATGGTGCATGCTCTGCCCGGGGAACCGGCTGCAGGTACAGTAGACCCCTTACTCCTAACCCCATGGGAGCGGCAGTAGCAAGTATACATTGTGGTAACCAGCAGTTCTCTAATTAGATTTAAGACCTGCTCAACAAGAAACCGAGCCAACTACTCGGGGTTAAGGAAGTCATGGATCTTGGAGGATCTATAAACACCTTTCTACTAAGCTAGCACAGTCCCTAGTTACATTCCTAAAACTTGTCCTTTCACAACTTGAGCATTTCTGTTTCTCCCCTCGGTGACCTGGAGCCGACTCTGCTCTGCATAGCTCCCCCCCCCCCCTTAGTCGTCTCACATCCAAGAACTGGTCTTGTCTGTGAGAGCTTCCTGTATCTTAAGGGAATTCCAAGACAATACATTTGATAAGTAAAGATAATTATAAAGAAAATAAATTAGGCATTTTCTTATATAATAGAGTCCAGCGGCTCGTTTATAGAGTAAGTTTTCCACTTCTCCCACTCTCCAGGCAGTTAATATGTTTATTTAAGGATTCACTACCTTGTCAAGTGTCCTACTAGACAAGGCTAGACAAAATAGTGAGTTTTTTCTTTCTTTCTATGATTTCTGCCAGAATCACACTTTAGGGGGTAAAGACAGACGCTATGACAAATTTCACCAAACAGAAGAGATGAGCTACTCAGGGCATTACTGTCAGGCATACTTATCATCATGGGTGATTGGAAAGGCTTTCTAGGGAACAAAGACCTGAGAGCTGAGGGAGAAAGCACCGCTCACAAAAGGCGCACGTTTAAGTCCCACAGGTGGGGAAATGATCGGCTCACTAACAAGTCCCGAGGAGAACAGAAGAGCACAGAGGGCATCATGGGAAGGGAGGCTGCAGCAAGGTTAGATACCGGCAGGGTGTGTGGTCCTGGGCCTCATGGGCCATGAGTGGAGTCTAGGTTTTAAAGAGTAACACTAATAGACTAAACACATTCAAGAAAACAGCACTTTGTCTCAGAAAGGGAACTGTATTAGATACGTGTAAGAATGAACGTAAGCACCCACACGGAGGCTCAGCACTTTCTTGAGCATCAGGCATGCATGTGGTAAACATGTATAAGCAGGCAAAACACACAGACACATAAGATAATAAAAATCTAAAACAAAATGAATATAGGGAGTGACAAAGAAATAATGGTGATTCTGTATAAGGGTATTGGTAATGTGGATAACAAACTGGAGGGTTTTAACACACAGCCAACCTTTGATAAAAAACACTGTGTCTACAAAGTCTACCCATTTGTGTAACACACACGCACATACATGTACACACACACATACACACACACACACACACACACACACACACACACACACACCCCCCCAGCACGGTTTGGATACTGTACTGCAGTGAGTGAACAGGAAGACACAGCAAGAGCAGGGATGATTTCCAGGTTTCCAAACAAAGCGAAGAAGACAGAAATGCCTTCTAGGAGAAAAGGGTTTTCTGGCAATTTAATACAGGACCTCACCCACTTGTCTCAGACTCCCAGAGTGAGGAGATTATATACAGTTCCCTATCACCAGGCATAGTGTGGAGGCGTGGACTCAAAGAAAGAAAGAAAATATTCTCTTTTCTGTTATTAAAGCACTGATTCTTCTAAGTCAATTTTGAATACTCAAGAACAAAGATGTTCGGACAGTTTCAATTATTTCTTTACATTCAGGAACAATTTTTAATTATCCTGCTTCCTGTCATTACATGATTAGAACCACCTGCAGAGTTAGCACTGAGATTTTTAAATGCGGCACAAGCAACCCTTCTATAAAACACTAGTTAAGAAGGAAGAAAGAAGCTCATTTATCTAAACACATGCCTATGTCCTAGAACTGGGGAAAGGGAGGCAAGAGAAATATGAATTCAAGGCCAAGTCTGGTTACATGAGACTGTCTCAACACAAAACACTCACTTTAGCCAAAGTTTTTCTGGCATCTTCTTTCAGCTGGGCACATTCAACATGAAGTGTTTCTAGCTTCATTTTCAAGTCGTCCCTCTCTTCAGCGAGACATGTGATCTCTTTCTGACTTTCTTGAAGCTTCTCAGTCAGCCCAAGCCTCTCTATGCTTTCTGGTGGCTCTGAATCCACTGTTCTGCAGTGTTCTTCCAATGGCTCCAGTTCATCCACTTTTCCTGGAATCTCCTTGACTTCGTCCAAAACAGGAAGGAGCTCTTGTTCTCGAAGCTCTGGGACCTTGTGATATTGATAAAGCGCAGTGTTACTATCTAGAGAGTACATTTCTTTTTTTTTTAAATAGAAAAGATCAGGAAATTTTACCCAGCAATGAATGTGACCTTGAATATTAGCGTCTCCCTTAGGGCAATAAGTCTCTTCACTTTCAATCCCTTTGGATTCTACATGACGTCACTACCAGTTTGCCATGCTTCCTTTTTTGCTTCCAAAGTGAGCCAATATGTATATACTATCATCACACTATTAATTCAGTTACAGGCTTAGTTTCTAGACTTGTTCTCAAATTATAAGCAAAAAAGGAAATTGTCTTAGGTGTTTATGAATATTCCAGTAAATGTATAGTCCCTATCTTTTGTTGAATCCAAATGCTATTTCCCACATTTTCTGTTGTGCACACTGACTTCCTATTCACACCAATCGCTAGTGGAATGATGCACTTTGCGTATCATATTCCCACAGGCACCACGTTAGAACTGAGGAACTGTCACGTGTCACACTGACAAAAAGACCTGCTTTATTACATAGTATTTCCAATGCTTGGCAAAGAGCAGACTGCCCAGTTATCCCATTGTCATCTTTCCATAGCAGTTACAATTATTATATGGTGTCTTATCCATTCGTGATTGTTCATTTATCAGCTTCTACTACAAACCAATCAGGATTTTGTTCCTCCATTACCACTGTTTTTCTTTCTCTTTTCTTTCTTTAGACAGCGTCTTACATAGGCTATCCTTAAACTCTCTGTGGAGTACGGAGTACAGGATGGTCTTAACTCCTGATTCTCTTGCTCCACCCATCAAGTTCTGAGGTTACAGGTATGCACCAACATATCTGACTTTTCCCATTATATCTGTAACCCAGACTATGTCTACTCCAGTAGACAGTCAATAAATCCTTAGCCAATGGATATATCATAACTATGTACTTGTTTTCCTTCAAAGGAGGAAGAAAGAAGTGACTGAGGACATGAGGAAAAAATGACATACCTTTTCTTGCGATTCGGTATTGAATTTTTCTGTGTCCTGAGTGCTTACTACCTGAGCTTCTTTCTCAGAAATGCTTCTTAGCTCGTCAGTGATTTCTTGGTGTTCTTTCAGATGTGTGTGAGCAATGCTTAGTCCTTCTGTTTGTAGGCCCTTAGGAAGTGAAATGTAAAGAATTTTACAGCCCTTGCTTAACATTGCCTCCCTCTTTCCAGCTGACTAGGTTTCCAAAGAAACATTTAGCAGATAGAGAAAAGGCTACAGTATTACTTACCGTAGCTTTGATTTCTCTTGCATATTCTGCAAGCTGTCTTCTTTCTCTTTCAAATGATTCCTGCAATTCCTTTAGATCATTTCTTTCTTTGGTTAGAGATTTCAACTTCTCACAATTTTCTTCAAGTTTCTGAGACAACTCAAGTCTCTCTGCTTCCATGCCCTCCAACGCCAGTCCTTGGCTCCTGAGTTGATCCTTTAGGCTCTCCATTTCAGTCATCCTTTCCCGCATCTTACTCAGGTCTTCCTCTGCACTGAGAAGGAGGTGCTGCCTTTCTTGGAGTTTCTGGTTCTTAGGAGGGACAATTTTTTATAATTATCACATTGCTGATACTTTGCTAAATGTTTATGTAGTACCATTAACAGAGCATTGTCTACGCAAAGCAAACAGACAAGCACCATTAAGAGTGAACTAGCCCTCTAGACATGCTTATGATTGGTTAAACAATTCAGGACTATTCAGAATGAGAACTTGATTGGAAATGGGACTTTTACAGATATAACTGTAAGCCTTGAGATTAGATTCTTTTGGACTACAGTGGTCCTTCAAATCAATGGCAGAGAAGGACACAGAGAAACCAGGAAGAGCAGGCTACGAGAAAACAGCATCAGAGACTGGAGTGTGCAGTCCCAGGGCAGCTGGGAGATATTAGATACTAGGAAGAAGCACAAAAGAACTCTTGACTGAGCCATCAAAAGGAACACCACTGGCACTTCAACTTTTAAAGGACCAAGAACGGTGACAATGCTGCCTGTGGAGGCTCTGCCTTTAATCCCAGCACTGGGGAGGCAGAGGCTGGTGGGTTTCTACAGAATGAGTTCAAGGACAGCCAGAGCTACTTAGTGAGACCCTAACTCAACACACACACACACACACACACACACACACACACACACACACAGAGAGAGAGAGAGAGAGAGAGAGAGAGAGAGAGAGAGAGAGAAAACAGTGATATATTGCATGTCTGGTCTTGTAGGCCACTAACTTTATGGTAATTCTGGTATTACCTTGGAAACTTACATTGGTTGATCAAGGTAGCAAGATGAAATGAGAAAATAAAATTAAAAAACCAAGAGACTAAAGTATATAAGTGTAGATTCCAAATAACCATAATTCCCTATGATATAAATATTATACACATATCATCTGTTTCTTTAGAGACAGTCTCATTCTGTAGCCCAGGCTGGTTGAGAACCCTCTAGGAAGTCCAGGCTGGTATCAGATTTACAGTGGCCCCCTTGCCTGGGCCCCCAAACTGCAGGGGGTACAGCTGTGAGTGACCATACCTAGTTTTCTATCGTCTTTTACTTTTAACAAGATGCTTACAGAATGGCCCAAATAAACTCAGAAGCATCAACTATTATCAGCTGCTGATTTCATTTCTTTGAGGAGTTTTTAAAAAAACACAAGGTTTTAAAGTAAATTCAATTATATAAAAGGAGTTGGGATTTAAAAAAAAAAAAGAATGCTATCCAGAACATGGCACAAACTACAGTATGCCATCCAGCAGTGGCATTGCTCTCATCCTAAGAGAAGGAACCTGTAGAGTCACTCAGTCGCTGGTCATAGTCTCAGGCCTCACATGACTTTACTTCTCTTTTACCAGTGATGCAGAAACATGTCAGCATCCAAGATGGCGATTGTGAGCAGCCTTATAATTCAAAGAAACGCCAACACGACTCCATATGGGAGGAACTTTTATTTGATGACTAATATTTCTCAAGTACTCAGAGTGTCTAATCCATGGTAGTACTCTTTAATTTTGATGAATGACTATATTACATGATTCATTTAGACCATCTAAGGCTGCCTGACTCTCACCTAAGGATGTTATAATTATATAATCTTTGCAAGGACTTAATTAAGAATTTAATACAAATCGAAACTTCAAACTGTTAACATTAATACTTCTTCACTTTGGAGATATTCCCTATTCCTTAATTTAAGACTAGAGGAAACGCATTTATTAGCTTTGTGGTTTGTGTGGCGGGGGCAGTCAAGACAACAGTGTGGGAAGGGAAGCGCACCTTTTCCTCTAACTCCTCTTCTACCTCTGCCAATCTCTCACGCGCCCTGGAGAGCTCGTCGCTCTTCTTGGAGGCTTCGTCTTTTTCCCGTGCAGCTATCTCTTGTTGCCTTTGGAGTTCATCTCTAAGAATTCTTAATTCCTCCTGGTTTTCAATAGTCTAGAGTTTAAAAAAAGTTCTAGATTAGAATTTATAATATTTTCTCATCTTTATGAAATCAGGAAAACTCAGAAATTACTTTTGACTCAAAATGAAGAAATCAAAGTGATACTGCACAGACAAAGACAACTCTAAAGTGCTTTCAGTGGCCAAAAAGACTAAAGCCACATTGTTTCTCTTATGTATTTATGGCTTTGCATTCAAGTACTGATCAATGAGCAGCCAGTTCACAATGGCTCCCACCCTTTGCTGGAAGGATGTGGAACTAATCCATTATGAAGATCACACAACAGCAGACTTGAATATGAAGGTCATCGAAACATAATGAATCAGAGAAGGAACACGCTTTTGTGTCTGCATGCTAATTTTCATTTAGTCTGTTGATAAAACAGACAAAACAATTCTAAATACAGAAAATTAAAACAGCACAGATTATAGGTTCTAGGGAATCCACAGTGAATTTCCTAAATTATTAATTTCAACCCATACAAAAACCTTATAATAGATAAAAAACAAAAACAAAAATAAACAAACAAAAAAACCTAGCCAGGGATTACTGGCAAGCACGAATGACTTAAAACAAAATTAAAAGTTACAATAGCAAAAGAGAAACATCTAGGAACCAATTTAACAAAATACGTATGATACCTGCAAACTATAACACAACATTAAGAGAATATATTATTAAGGATATTCAATGGCTAATTAGTTTATGAAAAAGTTTCAACATCTTTTGTTGCTAGGGAACAGTAAAGTAAGATAGGTACATCTGAAAAAGAATGGCTAAAATTGAAAGCACAAATAAATATAAAGTGTTGGTAAGGGGAATATGGAGCCACCAGAATTCTATTTATTTGTTGATGGAAATGTAAAATGGCAGAGCTGATCTGAAAATCAATCTGGAAAATTATTACCAAGTTAACACATAACACCCAGGGGCTCTATATAGGCAGAGACATTTGTCAAAAGTCATCCACCTACACTTCCATGACATATCTACTGCATATAGATTATACCCAAATAAAGTTAATAATATCAAAATAAACAGATAAAATGTATAACCAGCTGTAGAGAGCCAGGTCTTACCATTTCGATATTTTCCTTCAGGTCCATCTTCAATTGCTCCTTTTCTGCAATAAGACTTTCCAGTGTTTGTTGGAGTCCACTATTCTCCTGCATTAAAGAATGTATTTTCCTCTGTTCATCTGTTACCCCATTATCGCTACCGCCTGAAACCGATGTTTGGGCATTTGCAGCCAGTAGATTCTGCTCTTCATCTATGCCATCCACCTAAATATGAATACATTGGTAGTATTGGAGGTAGTGGAGCTGCAGCATCCACCCCTCTACTTCCCAACTGGGAGCAGGATGTGACTGGAACCTCACATCTCTGCTGCCCTGAGTTCCCAGCACGGCGCATTAGACCTTTTACACCGGGAGGCCAAGCAATTTTCACTTAATTGCTTTTGTCAGATATTTTGTCACAGCAACAAGAGAGCAACCCATGGAATACACGAACTTTGGTGATGCCATGATTCCTTAGGCAGGTACACCAGTGGTGGGAAATAGCTCATGAGGTTATGCTTTATGCCTCAGGGAGGAGTGGCCTGGCACCACCCTGAAGGAGAATCTATTGCTAAGAAACAGCCTTGAGGAAAAAGTCCAGGCTCCCAGTAGTTTTACCAGACTCTTCACGATCTTGTCCCTGTCCAAAACATGTGTCACCTAGTCTCAAATTCTGTCTTCCTATTCATTAAGAGGTTTTAAAAATACTTTTAAAGCTTGATGTTATCTCAGGGCTTTTCTCTCTCTCATTCTTTTCCCTGAATTATTTTCCTATTCTAATTGGCTCCCCAGCTCCACCGTCAGGTGTACATTATCCTGGTTATGTCTCCACTGCTGTCATGGAATGCTCATCAGGGGCAACTTGGGAGGGGAGAGTTTATTTCACCTCACAGGTTATGGTTCAGCATTGCAGGAAATAAGGCAGTGTCTGCTGTTAAAGAGCAGCTTATAGAAGCAGACGGGAAGACAACCATCATCCTTACCTCCTGCTCAACTTCGTCTCTACTTCCTCCACTGTCCTCCATATGCAAATTCTTGGACATCTCCTCAGCAGCTTTCATTTTCAGCACGTTAATTGTTTCTTGGTGTTGCTTCAAAGACTCAAGAGCATTTAGTAACTGTTCTTGAGTCTCTACGTTCTTGGCAAGAGAAAAAGAAAACCATTTCCATCAGGATGTGAAGCATACTGATCTTACAGTTACTACTCAATCATACACAATGACTTCCGCAGTTCTACCCGGCTGAACCATACCATGTTTACAGTGTCCTGAATGTCACTTTTCAGTTGGTCCCTCTCCATCTGCAGGCTTGTTTGGAGTTGTTTTAGGTCTTCCTTTTCTTGGGTTAAGACTCTTACTTCTTCCAAGGTTTGCTGAAGCCTCTCAGTGAGCAGTGCTCTCTCCTTCTCTGCAGACTGCAGGCTGGACTCTCTGTGTTCTAACTGCGTTCTCAGCTCGTCCATTTTATCTGACCTCTCTTGACTCTCGTTTGTTTTCTGCTGGAGCTCTTGAGTCTTGTGGGAAAGCTTTAAAGAAAAAGTGTGATAGAGTAAAAGCAGAATGTTGTATCACACGTAGACAAACTCACGTGCATGCAGACCACACTCAGGAAAGCAGAAGCCCGTTTCTCGACAGTTTGTACCAACCTCAGCCTTCAAGGAATCCAAACTTGAACCAAGGTTTTCTGCTTCTTTAGAGAGATTTCCTATTTCCTGTTTCATCCTCTCATTGTCTTCCAGAACCACTTCATATTTCTGCTCGAGTTCCACGTGAAGGGCTTCCAGTGTTTGGTATGCTTCCTCTCTGCTTTTGCAGTTCAGCTGGGAAGCTGGAAGGTCTTCTTTAGTCCTTCCAATTTCTTCAAGTAAAGCTTGAATTCTACTGTCCTTATGAGCTACTTCAGAAAACAAGTTTTCCCTTTCTGAGGTTCTTAAACAGAGCTCTTCAGATTTCTCATGCAGCTGTGGAAAACAAGTCAGAATTAGGGATGGTAGCAAAATTTGATAGATACCCTGAAACAACTTTCTGAAAACTTTGAACGTTAGCAAAGGTTGTGAGGAATGAATGGCGGTCATTTTCATTTGCGGCTCTGAGAGTCGACCTCAGAGCACAGTGCACAGCAGGCAAGCTCATAGCCATTCAGTCTGTCTACAGCAGACGGCAGCGTTCTTGTCATTGCCTCTCCATGTAGCCCGTTTAATCCGCCTTAAATGCTTTTTTCATGATGTCTTTGAGTTCGTTAGAGAATGCATGGAGAAAGAGCAGTAGAAACAGCTGAGATTTATTTAGTTCCCAAGTTATCACTTCAAAGTGTTTTTTAATATGTCTGTGTGGCAGGCACTTTACGTTTTCTTCAAAATTCAACCCCCCTCCCCCCATTCTCCAACTAAACATTGACTGCAATTCAAATTCCTAAACATTTAATACATGGACAAACTAGGCTTTTAAGAATTACATAAGAATCGTCATTAAAAATTTTTTTCTTTAATTGATTTTATTGAGCTATATATTTTTCTCTGAGAAGCATCATTTTAAATAATGAAATAATCCACAATATATTTATGGGTAGTTTACTCATTGTGAAAGGGGAAGATGAGAGAGCTGAAAAGCCCACCAAGAGAAGGGCAAAAGCACAGAGGTTAGCGGCTGGCTGAGGGGCACACCGTGAGGCTCAGCGCCAGCCTGACAGCCATGTTGGAGGACTGAAAAGAGCACCTGTTGGTCTTTCCGTGCACTGAGTGCTCAAGGAACTCTGCTGTTACATGTTTACAGCATAAATAAAATAATGCTTCATTCTTTAGCAAGATGTTTCCATAGAGTAAGCACTCAAATTCTTGGCACTTTTATTTCTTTTAGGAAGACAGACAGACAGAGAAGCTGATGGGTGAGTCTGCAGATGCGTTTACTAACAAGGAAAACTTATAGTGGCTACAAAAACTATCAGTGCTAGCCTTTAACCTTGCTACATTTTATTTTGAAATTTATTTTTCTCATGTGTTTGGATGTTTATATATGTATGTATGTACATCTATGCGCCATTTGCATGCAGTGTCCATGGAGGTCATATCAAGGCCTCAGATACCCTTGGAACGGAAGTTAACAGGGTAAGTTGTGAATTGCAACATGGGTGCTGGGAATCAAACTTGGCTCCTCTGGGAGACTAGTCAGTGCTCATAACCACCAAGCTCTTTCTCTCTTGCCCTTGCTATTTTTTAAATATGGAATTTTAAAATTTAGTCTTGAGATGTATTTCAATTATATTCAGGCACCTACCAATTCCTCCTGGAATCTCCTAAATCCCCCTCCCAACTTTGAGTCCTCTTTATTGTTTTGTAACTTTCTAAGTCCAACCAGTCACCCGTGGATATGCGCGACTGCAGCCACCCACTAGACCATGGTAGACCTACTAGGGACCCCTAAAGAGAATGGCCTCTCCCTCCCCTCGTGGCCATCAATTGCCAATAGCTTTTCAGCTGGGGTGAGGGCTCCCGTGGCCCTCTCTTGATCTTGGGCAGCCACCACAGTTGCTGTGGTGTAAGCACATGAGTCCTGTCACATGCGGGATACTGCTTCGCCCTAGCCCCCTAATCACTGCTCCTTACAATCACTCCACCCTTTGTCAAGACGTTCCCTGAGTCTTGAGAGGAGGGCATATAAAATACACGTCACAGACATTTGTTTTTTGCATAAACAAATTTGTTTGAGTCTAACTCTGCAGCTCAGGCTGGTCTGTAAACCCACCTCACCCTCTTGAATGCTGGGATCACAGGCATGAACTACCATTTCCATATACCTTCTTTCCTATTCTGTGTTCTTCAACGCAGTGGTTTGGCTAGTACCAACAAGTGGGGACAAATTCTTAGGTGGGGGCTAAAAGTGTGCAAATACATTTAAAGACCAAACACAGCCAGTGCATGGATCACGCTACTAAGCACTTGGGTAAATACACCTTGAAAACACTGTTTCTCTACCAAGTTCCCTAAGAGCCGGTGAGTGCATGAGCCGTCTCTGCCAGACGTTTACAGCGTCTCTGTCTTACCTCTTTCCTCAGCATTTCTACCTCAGAGGGTAAAGACTTCAACTCTGATAGCAAGTGAACTTCTTTTTGCAAAGTTTCTTTTTCTTCAACTTCTTTATTCAGTTCTCGTTGGAGATCAGTAATCCTGTTCTCCAGCTCCAAATTTGACAGTAAACCTACAAGTTTTTGATAAATTAGTCTATGTTGACAAGAAAGTAATTAGATTTTGAAGATTTTAAACTACCCCTCAAGTCATGCCCACTGCACTGAAAAATAATTTTAAGCCCTTAATATTTAGAAACATGGATATCAAAGATATTTAAACTGAACAGTAAATTTCTTTAAAAAGTAAGAGCTTAGCAGGCACGTGATTCCGGGAATGTACTCAATCACTGTAGGTAAGCTCCTGGGGGTCAGTGTGCAGACATAAAAATTTGTACGGTACCTTTGCCATCTACCAGGGCAGTGAGTTTTGATATTTCCTGAAAAGCAAACTGTAATTCCTTATCTAGATCATCTTGCATTTTCTTTTTTGCTTCAAGCTGGCGTTGATAGGCCTGAATGTCATTTTCCATTTGCTTACAAGAATCTGAAAGTTCATTCTGTCAGAAAAACATTGAAAATTGACAACATAAAATATAAACAAAGGAGTCAAGACCACCATAGGGACAGTCACAGAATCACCTAACTATATAATAAACATAATATAATATAAACAAAGAGGTCAAGACCGCCATGGGGATACCCACAGAATCACCCAATAATATATAGAATATAATATATAAACAAAGGGGTCAAGACCATCATGGGGATGCCCACTGATATAAAAAAATAATATAATATATAATATAAACAAAGGGGTCAAGACCGCCATGGGGACACCCACAGTATCACCTGACTTGAGCTAGTGGGAGCCCACTGAACTGATGGCAGGGGACCTGCATAGGACAAACTAGACCTTCTGAATGTGGTGACAGTTGTGTGGCTGGGGCAGTCTGTGGGGTCACTGCCAGTGGGACTAGGACTTATCCCTAGAGCTTAAATTGGCTTTTTGAAGCCCATTCCCTAAGGAGGAATACCTTGCTCAGCCTAGATATAGGGGGGAGGGCCGTGGTCCTGTCTCAAAGTGACGTGTCAGACTTTGTTGACTCCCCACGGGAAGCCTTAGTCTCTCTGAGGAGTACATGGGGGCTGGGGTGAGAGCAGGAGGAGAGGGGAGAGTGGCAACCATGATTAAGTGTGTAAATGAGAAAAGGTTGTTTAAAATAGAAAAGCCTGATGACACTGTACTGATCACCACTGCGTGTCATAACCTCTGGAACAGTACTAACAACTTTCTCCTTCAGCGTCAGGTTCTCACTCCTAAGGAAGGCCGACTCTTTCTTGGCGTCAAGGGCCACAGTGTCCATATCAGACAGCGTCTGCATCATCTGCTTCAGGTCTTCAGTGGGTTCCTAGACAGGTGACAAAGAGGACTCAGGAGGTCCAGTTTTGGCAGCTTTGGGAACTACACTGGAGAACACACACACACACGCGGCAGAAATCCAGCAGGTGCGGCAGCAGAGAGCTAGAAACTAGCCCGAACTCCTGCTGGGTCACACATGGCCTCGCTCTGGAGTTGGCACCTAGCTCCAATCCATCTTTTTGGTTACAGATAGCTTTTGTTGCCCTATGTGCACCCTGTCTGAAGAGTTTCCCAAAGATACAAAGCTACGCAGAACTCAGTTGGGCGGGAAACCCAGATAACTGTGGTACCCAGCCTTTATTGAGACGTTGTGCTCGGCATTATACTTGTGGAAGCTTCATTCAGGCTGCTTGGAGCACATGGAAACCAACTGGCATAATTGTAATGGAGAAAAACAAAAATGCCCTGGGTGAAGGGAAAGCGCTGCAGGCCACAGAGGCTGGGGACCCCATCTCAAGTGTCTCTGAGCTTTCTTTTGCCCGCGTCACAACACACAAGGCAAACACACTCATCTTATTCTTAGCTCATCAAGAAGGGCAAAGATAAGATAAAAATTCTGGCCACATTTTCCTATATCATAACAGCTGGTCTGGAAGTACAATTTAAACAATTGGTTAGTGTTTAATAAAAAACCTAAGCCAGGTATGGTGGCACACACCTTTAAATCCCAGAACTGGAGACAGGCAGGTAGATCTCTTGAGTTAAGAGGTCAACCCATCCAACATATCGAATTTCAAGTCAGCTTGAGCTTTACAGAGAGACCCTGTTTCAAACCCAACCAAACCATCCACACCCACTGGTACAGAAGGAAAAAAAAAAATCCTAAAACCATTGAAGCAGTTACTTCAACTCTCTATTGGTAAAATGTTGATCACACTAATGATTCATTAATCAAAGATTTATGCCCATATTAAACATATATAAATTGATTATAACCAGCCTGGTACACAGTTGGCTCAATATAACCAAACATTTACGAGGAAGATTATGACAATGTACTAGAAATGCCAAGTCAATCACACAGCAAAAGAAAACCTGATTTTACCGATGAGTATGACAGGTCTATTTTCATCTTTTCTGACTTCTGGGCATCTATGTATTTCTGCAGGTCCTTAATCTGATCCTCTTTTTGTTTAAGAAGTTCTACTTTTGAACTTAATTCATTCTAAAAAAATCAAAAAACAATAAAATTGAACTTAATAAATGATTTGTTAAAAATTTAAATTGGTCAAAATTCACTAATATTTAAAATATAATTTCTCTATTTTCTGTAATTATGTTTAATTATAGGACACATATTTTAAGTTGTAGTTACTTATCAAAGGAAATACTAAGATAAATGTTTACCTCAAGATCTTGATTATATACTTCTGCATGCTTAACTAAATTCTTTAAGTTGGAAATTTCATGAATTAGCTGCATCTGTATGAGTATATGAATAGGAAACAGCAAACCAATTGTTAATAAAGCAAAAGAAAAAGAAAACCAAAGAAAGCATTCTTTACTGCTTCAGAAACACCCGTCTTAGAAGGATTGAGAGGTCAACTGTTCAGCTACTGTAGTAGCGCACCCGAAAATCTAAACATCCAAGAGGAAAAGGGGCTAGAGAGCTGGCTTAGCAGTCACAAGGACGGCGCTCTCCCTACAGAGGACACAAGTTCAGTTCCCAGCATCCCCTCAGGCACCCCAAACCATTTGCAACTGCAGCTCTACAGGATCTGATGCTTCTATGGGCACCTGCATTCATTCATGTATACACTTAACATTGACACATAGACCTACATGTAATAAATAACAAAAATAATATCTTAAAGAATCCAAGAAACACTACTCAAACAAACTCACACTCACAAATTAAACAAATAAGGAAAAGCATGTCTTCATAATGATCTCAACAGGTCATAATGACATCACTAGTGAATAAGCAAACTCCAGTCACAATTTTAATAACCTATATTTTGGACAGACTGTGTTTGGGGAATCTTAAGTTTTTTTCCTTCCAATTAATGATCCAATTGGCCCTATAATGACATAGTTTCATATGATTTGAATTTAGGTTGATTGGGGTAGGTTGACTTCATGTAGGAACTTTAAACTATTATTATTGTTGCTGAGAACCTACAAGGTGTAAGATTATTAACTCTTACTTTGCTATCTATCCTCAGGAAAACATTGAAAATGATGCTACTACGTAAAAGTATAAAGGAGAAAGCATTTGTCTCAATGTTGTTTATCAAAGTGTCTGCAGCTTTGAATTTTCTGACCACCAGAAACTTTCATAGTGAGGAACAAGAGACCCAAACCAGCCAAACAACCAAACCAAACCACTCTGTGTAAGACAAAGTCACTAAACCCTTCAAGATGCTCCATTTGTTCTCCTGTTCACATACAGTGGAAAATAAATCTGGTTATCTTAAAAAGAGTATAAACTAAATGCCTCTCAATTAAATTCTTTAAGTTGTGTACATACAGGTAAAACAGCAACACCTCCACGTTAGAAATCAATGTCTTCATGAGGCTGATAGAGTTGCCATTCATGTTTTTGATTCACATTCATTATTTCTATTTTTCTTACCTCCTGATCTTTCTCTGCTTTTCTTTCGAGAGCCTCAAATTCCTCTAAGTCATTTTTTTCTTTTAATTTCAATTTCAGTTCTTCATTTTCTTTTCTTAGCTGCTCGTAGTCCAATACTAGATCATCGTACTGAGCATGAATTGAGGTCAATTCACTTTCTAAGTTTTCCTGTTATAAACAGAAACAAATCTTCAGTCGGGAAATTCAGATCCACCTGCTAAATAGTTTTGCTAACCAAAATGTAGATTAAATGAACAATCAGTTCATCTCTGAGCCAGTTGAACAGGTCATTCTCCTATCTATCTATCTATCTATCTATCTATCTATCTATCTATCTATCTATCTATCTATCTATCTATCTATCTATCTATCTATCTATCTATCTCTGAGATAGGGTTTCTTTATGTATCACTAGCTGTCCTGGAACTTACTCTGCAGACCAGGCTGGCCTCGAACTCACAGAGAGGCCTGCCTCTGCCTCCCTGAATGCTGGGATTAAGGGTGTGTACTACCTTTGCCTGACCATGCTTTTCTTTAATCTAACATTTGCATACTCTTGCTAATGTGAACCAGGAATAGGTTAGCTGAAGAGTATGTCTGCCTTACTGTCCCCAATAGACAGGGAAAGATGAATCGTGAAAACAGGAAAACACTGAAGCCCATCTGACCACATCACTGCTCCTCTGGCTCATTCCTGAGAAGGCTGGAAAAGGAAACAGAAATGGGACGACTAACCTGTCTAAGCTGCTAATGGTTTCCATGTTTTACCATACCATCCTGGGAGAAGCAAATTTCTACTTTCTATGCTACTTTGAGAAAAACTATGTTCTTTATTTTTGTTGTTTGGTTATTTTTGAGAATCATTTTTTAAAAAAAATTTAAATTAAAAGTATCTGAGTGTTTTGCCAGCATGTGCATAAATTCAGGTTGCATGCTGTCTTGGAGGTCAGAGAGGGAGTTGTATCCACTGAAACTGAAGCTACAAACAGCCGTGAGCTGCCACGTGGATGCTGAGAACTGAACCTGGGTCCTCTGGAAGAGCAGCCAGTGCTTTTAACCTCTGGGCCATGTCTCCAGGCCTCTTTATTTTTAAATAACAAATTCTAAAAGATGTGCAGAACAGAAGAACACGTTGCCTGGACAGCCATCAATTAGTAGTGGTCAGAATTGCAGGAACGACTGCAGATGTTTCCAAAAGAAAACCAATCTTGCTGGACGTTTATATAACATTACTACATACCTGATCAGTTGTTTACCCTCAAGGGGTTTCTCAAATAAAAATATAAAACTTGGAACTATTACAGGTATCTCACAGTCTAGGTATCTCACAGCTATCAATCAAGAGACAAAAAGAGAACAGTCTTCCCTATAATCAAGCTTGTCTGACATTAAGTCAGGCAGGGTTAACACTGCAGTATAAGAACAAATCCAGCGAAAAACAGTAGCAGGAGAGATGGCTCAGCAGTAGGAATACTTGCTACTCTTCAGCAGCTCTGCGCTCTGTTCCCAACACCCATATCACAGCTTGAAATCACCTGAGCCTGGCGGTGGTGGCGCACGCCTTTAATCCCAGCACTCGGGAGGCAGAGGCAGGCAGATCTCTGTGAGTTCGAGACCAGCCTGGTCTACAAGAGCTAGTTCCAGGACAGGCTCCAAAACCACAGAGAAACCCTGTCTCGNAAAAAAAGAAATCACCTGAAATTCTGGTTCCAAGGGATCTGATGTCCTCTGCTGACCCTACAGGCAACAGACATGCAGTGGTATACAGACATACCCAGATGTGCGTGTACACACATACACACACATACAATATGTGTTTGTTTTTTCTTAAGAAAAAACATAAAGGCAGCTGCTCTAATGAATACTTAGTTACCTCGCTTAGCATCTTTGTTGCTGAATTCCACTCTACCTCAGCCAATGATTCAAGACTGTTACTGAACATATCAGACTCAACAGAGAGTGCTGTAAGTAGAAAAACAAGATGCACGTCATGAACATATTTAGCATAAGTTTCGCAAAAAATAAAAATAAGTTTAATAAAAAGTTGTGAATAGATGAAAGCTCAAATGAAATTATATTCAGGTATGACTGCCAAGAGCATGTCAACAATAGATATAATCACTGATCATACTACTGTATGAATTAAGAAAGCTGACTGGAATTGTGATAAAATAAAGATCCTTGAGACAATACAGATAAAAATGACATATTCTGTATCTGAGATTTGACCAGTATCAGTAGATTAAAATGTCCCTAAAGAAGATTATAATGCTGGAGAAACAATTCAGAAACACAGTCCTATAGAATTGGTATAAATGGCATTCTGAAAACTAGAATAAGGTTAGCTGGATGTTATGTGAAGACGGTACCATTTTAACTGAACTTCAGAGCAAAATTAAATCAAGCACCTGATTTACACACTTCACGTACACTATATTGCTCTGTTTTTGACACGGTCTTACTATAACCCAGTCTAGCTTTGTATTCCTGGCAATCCTCCTGCCTCAGACTCTCAAGCGCTGATACTATAAACAGAAGCCACCGTACTTGACTTACAATTCACGCTTAAGAATCAACAGAATTTCATAATGTTCGTGACTGCAATCATATCTGAACTGTAACACTGTGTTTAACCATGTTTCTCACATTTACCATGCTAGAGTCTGTGGACACACATTTATAATTCGGTGTAGTTCCACTGAAGAAGGTACTTACATTCATCATTCTCTCCCAATCTCAGAGAATTTTCTTGCAAAAAAGTCACAGAAGTTTTATGTGTCCTTGTAGTTACATTTAGTGGGACTTTAAATTCATTTACATAGTTTGACTCCTTCATTTTGCTACTTTTGCCATAGCACCAAGTAACTCTTCGTTTCTTTTTAATCTTAAAAAACAAGAAAAAAAGAAATCAAAATTATTTCACACAGGCCCAAGCTGAGACAAAATAAAAAACAAGGAAACTACTTATTTTTATATATTTTTATGTGAGCAGCACGGCAGGATTCTTAGGACTCCAAGAAAACACCCTGAGTTCTGTGGAAGATCACATGCTTATCCTGCACAAGGCCCTGGCTCAAATCCCAAGAACCAAAAGAGAAATGTAACACCTCTGTCAATTACAGAATTAAGTGCTGATTCTGAAGTGAAGTAGACCGCTTTTCTCTTGCGCAGCCCTGTCCTCTGTCATATCCCACAGTCTACCCTGCCCCACTGCAAAGCAGTTTCCGTCCTCACCACATGATTTAAGATTGCTTTTGCAAGTGCTAGTGTTGGTGCACACCTTTAATCCCAGCACTCGAGCAGAGGCAGGCAAATCTCTGTAAGTTGGAGGCCAACATGGTCTACAGAGTGAGTTCCAGGACAGGCTCCAAAGCTACAAGAAAACCCTAACTTGAACTTGCCCTCCCCCCCTCAAAGATTGCTCTCACAAATAAGTCACGGCTTCACTGTATCCACAGCCAAGGAACAAAGCCCAAAACATCAAAGTCCTGTTTTGTTTATCCCTCATTTCCTCCCCAATTGGACAATTTGCTATCTTTCCAGAGTCATAATTCTCCCAGAGCTATAACTTATCTGCTGCAGACAGTAGCTATACCTTTCTGAAGATCAATGTTGATGTTACATAAAAGACTCTATTGTCCTTAGCATAATGTCACATTCAAATTCCTCAATGCACTTTAATATGCCCTGGCCACTGTGCATTTTAAGTTCAAAGTATGTTTACCATGCATTTGCAAAACTTTTAAGCTTTTGGAAATGGTGGCTGTTTCTTAAAGCATCTGCTTCCATTGAGCTATTTCCTGATTATTGCTTAGTCAACCAACACTTCTTGAATGAATGTACACCTGCTAGTGACTTACACAACATGCCTACTGGTAATTACACTGAAGGCTTACACTAGGATTTTCTGTGTAGAAAGGACTGTTATACACATTCATGAGACTGGATATCAAGCTGTCCTTCAGGTAAAGTATATAGTTAGGAACTGACAGAACTGAGATTAGAGTTTGATCGGTCTGGCTTTGAGGGCTACCCTCTGAACCTAAATACTCCATCATTTCTACTGAACAGAAACCTATCCCAGGAAGAATAAATACACCTGCTGGAAGGTAGGATTTTGATCCCTACACTAATTTATATTGTCAATCGGTTTTCCTGAGTTAATATTACCATTAATTAAGTAGAAGGTACTGTCATAAACCCTAGAGATCTTAGTTCCTAGTCATTTATAAGTTTCTTTTTTTTAAAAAAAGATTTATTAATTTTATTTTAATATACACATGTTTTGCCTGTATATATTCTGTGTGAGGGTGTTGGATCCCCTAGAACTGGAGTTACAGACAGCTGTGAGCTACCATGTGGGTGCTAGGAATTGAACCAGGGTCCTCTGAAAGAGCAGTCAGTGCTCTTAACCACTGAGCCATCTCTCCAGTCCCATCTTACAAATTTCATTAGACTTTACTACGAACCATTGTCCAGACAGTCTTTACAAACACCCTAGACTTTTTGGAATTAGTATCTGTTTACATGCAGACAGGGGAGAGGCAATTACAACTCCCTTCTTAGGTAGAGTTGATACATGGCAAACACACAGAGTGCTCTAAGTTTCTTAAGGACCCATATCAAAGGATAAAGGGTTACATCTTAAGGACTCAGAAAGACCTGTCATATTCTCTGACATCTTGAGGACACAGAAAGACCTGTAGTGTTCTCTGACATCTTGCAGCTCTACCTTTAGCTCCTGCTGCAATGCAATAGAAGACGACGTCACCAGCATCCGCTTCAGGTTCTGGATTTTCTCATCCTGTACTTTCTGGAGCAAGTCTTTTTCATCCAGAAGCTGGGCCAGCTGATCTTTCTCCATTTCCTGTGCCCGAGTCTTTGTATTTACCTAAGAAATATTGGGTTATGTTAACTATAAATGTAGCAAAATCGGGCTATAGAAAATAGCTTCAACAACAGAAGATTACATTTGCATGTAATCTATGAGAACTTTAATTTTATTCAAGTAAGATATCGTCTACATACAGAAACCCAACATGTAGCTATCATAGCCAATAGTTAAACTTAAGAGATAAACTATATACAGTTCTTTTCATTAGGATACTATATTTCATGCTAGGATAATGCTGTTAATTTTATTAATCGTCTATGAAGATATAAATTGGTAGGGAAGTCAAAGAAGCTGAAATTTGAAAACTGCAATAGACGAGATATCCATTAAAAAGACCTACTAAAAGGAAAGGTTTTTTACAAGCTTAGGAACATGATGACAGAAACAATGAAGCAGAAGAAAGGCTGGCTGGTGTACTCTCAGAGGCCACCTTCTCAGGGTGGAAGAGGCGTTCAGGAGAATGTGAAAGCACAAGGTAGACTTAGGTCACTATACAATCCACATAGGAAAATACATGGTCTCTCAACAAAGCTTAATAATTTTAAGACATGCCCCCTCGTTCATTTTTGTTTTTTGAGACACATGTAGTCTTGGCTGGTCTAGAAATGGTTACACAGCAAAGGATGACCCTGAATTCCCAGGTTTCCCAGCCTCCAACCCCGAGGTACTTATATTATAGGCATCCACCATAGGCTTGGTTTGTCTGAGGTGCTGGGGGGTAAGGGGGTAAGCTCAGGGCTTTGCACACACTGGAAAATCATCCTGTCGACTTAACGACATCTTCAACATTCAGAAACAAGGTATTTCAGGTTGTAGTAAACTCCTTTTGTTGTTGAAGATAGACCCAGGGCCCTGTATATTCCAGGCAACACTACCACTAAGTTCCATCTTATTTCCTAAAGTTAAAACTTTGTGAATTGAATTATTTTAAGCTAAAATCCATTTGCTTTAAAATTAAGTTGTATTGATTCATATATTCATAAATTTATAGTCTCTGAGGCAGATGTCCATCATTCTATATTGGTTCTTAATCCTTTACCCAAATAAAAATCATACATACCTCCTCCAGTTGTTTTTTGAGATCCACTATTTCCTTTCTGTACCTTTTCAAGAGAGCTTCATCATTTGACACCTCATTAACATAAGGAGTATTCTTCATATATTTAGCAGTGCTGGCAAACTGGGACAAAACGTAAGATGTTCAATATTAAAAGAATTCCGATAATCAATATACTTACTTCTTGTAATAAAGTTTCTTTGAAAAAAAAAAATAGCATTTTTGGCTGAAATTATCTGTCCTTTCTTTTAACCTTTGTTCTGATCTTCGCTGGGTGGGGGACTGTTGTGTATGTGGTGTGTTCATGTGTGCAGGCACATGTGTGCATATTCTGTGTGTGCACACGGAGGGCAAGGGTTATTGTTAGATATCTCCATTGACTGCTACACCTTCTTTACAGAGCAGAGTTTCTTCCTGAACCTGGAGCTTGTTGATTAGGCTAGTCCAGCCAGTCAGCTTGACCTGGGATCCCTTGGCTTTGTTTCCTGGGTGCGGAGGTACAGGAGAGGTGCTCTGCATGTGAGCTTGGATGCTGGGACTCCGGCCCTTACACTAGTGAATGAAGTGCTTTGTCCACGGAGCCATCTCTCCAGCTCCCAGGACTGAGCTCCCAGGACTCCATTCTTATTTGCCAGCTTACTAATTCAAGATAATTACGTTGGAAGTCAAGTCTCATCTACTTTATAAACACTGTGAGGCCAGCAGCACCCTGACCCAGTACTCAACAGCTATAATTCTTTTTTTTTGTAGACAGGATCTTGTTACATGGTCAGACTGGCCTGAGACTTCATAGGCAGAGCAAGCTAGTCTAACACTTAGAGAAATCATCTCGTTTCTGCTTCCCAGGAGCTACAACTAGAGACACACATCATTACAGTCGGCTTAATTTGTTTTAGAGAGAGTGTTTTATGTTACCCAGGCCAGTCCATCTGCTTCAGTCTCCTAAACCCTGGGATCTGGGGCATGTGCCATCATGCTCAGCTTTGAAGCATTTTCCCACCATGGGGAGAACTTAGGGTCTGTGTCTGCTCTGCAAGCATTCTCTCAGAGCTTCATCCCCCACCCCTGCAGCAGCTAAGAGTCATAGGTGACAATCTTCAGGTAATCATTAACAAACAACACTGGACCCTTACTGAGAAAGTTGCTTTATTAACTTGTTTTCCATTTTCCCTTTCCATATCCTTTCTTTTTCAATAGAAAACGCAGGCCTGCAGTTCTTATGCAGCCAACTGCTAGGAGAAAGTCACTAAATGTTTGGTCACACACACATTATATATTTTTATAATCACTATTTGTGGCAAGTAACACTAGTGTTTCATTTATGAATCTAACAAAGTTTCTAGTTACCACATAATCAATAGATATACAGTTATTTAAAGAAAGGATCAAATCACTTCAGTTAAAAGTATTGGATGTTCCCAAAACTACAGAGATGGGCTACAAATACTAAAGCCTGGGAAATAACACTAAGAATGCTGTTTGCTAGGCTGCATGTCTGTTCTATAGCAGGCACACCAGGGGGCTTGTCATTTCAGTGGAGAATGTTTTCTTCTGAAAGCCGGGCATTCCCTACAGTGTAACGAGATGAAAATTAAACTCACCTGGAGAGTTGTTAGGGTTTCATCGAACGATGCTGGAGTAATTGTGCAGATGATGCGGGTTTTTGCATTTCCTCCCAAGGAATTCTGAAGAATTCGTGTCAGTTTGCTATCTCGGTAATTTATGAAACCACTTAGCAAGAAACAAGTATGGGAAGAAAAGGGTTGAGAGTGCATACATAAAAATGTTGTCCTTTAAGAAAATGAACATGTACTCATAATCTTATAAATTAAATTTTTACAGGTTGTATAAGGCAGATTAGTCTGCTAATTAAGAATACTTAAGATAGGAAATAAACTTAGTAGGTTATAGTTATTTGTGTAAGAATCTATGCTCATAAATTATGCACATATATTAAGATGTCACAATGAATGAAGCACATTATATGCTAATAAAAAACAAAAATATTAAAGCTGGATGCATAGCAAACACCTTTAATCCCAGCAGGCAGATCTGTGAGTTTGAGGCTAGCCTGGTTTACAAAGTGAGTTTCGGACAGCCAGAGCTGTTACACAGAGAAACCCTGTCTTGAAACACCAAAAAAATTTAAAAGGCTGATGAGATGGCCCAGTCGGTAGAGGCCCCTCTGCAGAGGTCTGAAGAGCTAAATTAGACTTGGGTTCCACAAGGTGACAGGAGAGACGAGATTCCTAAGAGCTGTCCTCTGACCATCAGTTGTGTTTGCAAAATTAAAAAGAAAAAGAACATTTAAGGAAAGGATTCTCTAGGCAAACAACTGAGGATTAAGATACAGAAGCAGTGTGGTTGGCACATCAGTGCTGGAGTGGGGATGGAAACGCTGTGGCTCCAACACCTGCAGAGTGCACTGCACCAGCTATGGAAGGGCCTTGGGAAGGCAGTTAGAGGAGTAGGAGCCCAAATCACCTAGGGCTCCCACACATGAGGAGCAAAGAAAAATGCTAAGCTGTACAACCGGAATATCACAGATTCTTAAGAGATGAAACGTTCTTAAGAACGCCACATGACCAAAATGTCACACTGTACTCTATCCAATTATCACATCTCAAATAAACACACAAGCTTAAAAAGAAAAAAAACTGAAAGACAGCTCACAAAAATCCAAAACCTTAACAATGTAGAAGAAATCAATACACTTGATTACGACTAAAGTATTACAATTCTCCAAATAATAAAAACCCATAAGAAATAAGTATATAATACAACTTACCCAACTTGTTCATCACTAAGTTTCTTAATCACTTGTCCCAAAATAAATAAACTCCGGTTTATATTACAGCCTTCTTTGAGTCGCACACCTGAGTTAGACAAATGTGAAACTTTCAGCCTCTGTGCTAGATGAAGTGCTTGCTTCTAAGTCCTGAGTCAGATGTGAAAGGGACAGATGATGCGAAGATCTAAGGCTGTGGTTCAACCTGAGCTCACTCTCAATACTAGGAGTTCTCTTTCTAGTCTGCCTACATATGAAGACGAGCAGAAACACCATGCGAGAGAAAATAACATCGAGAAAATGGAAACTAAGACGGGAAAAAAAATGCCTGCTTCCCAAGGTCCTCTAATCACAGTTAAGTCTTTTTATAAACCTTTAAATAAAAGCAATCATGGACTTCCAATCAAATGCCAGGAATTTTTAAACTGTTAAGATGCTTACATCATTCAAAAAGTTAAAATGCAAACCTTGAAAAAACACACTAAAATATTCAAACTTTTCTTTTGCTTATGAGAGTTATTTTACTTTTATCGATTTATTTGAACTCTACTATCTTACTTAGTTTTTCTTATGTTTTATTACTCATACAAAAAGAACAGGAAAAATCAAATGGTCAGTCTTGTCATGAAAAGTTACAAGTATCCAGTTAAATCTGGACTCAATGCTACACTCTCCCTGTAGGGACACATCCGAGCTCTGCAGTTCAGATACTAGACAGAGTCTTCTTGGAGTGATTCTGATTCCTGTTCTTTTCCTTCTGAGCAATAGTCATGGTCACTGTGTTCTTCAATGGAGGGAAAGTGTTCTGAAATACGGTGTCCAAGTAAACAGCAAAGCATCGAGCCAGTATATTAGCACTAGAAGGATGCCGTCCATGGCCTTTCTTAATGTTCTAATCAAGACAGCTTAGATGGTTTTTAATACATTCCTGGACTTCCCAGCTGCACAGCCCTATCATCTGCAAAACTGATGCAAAACTGGGTTGGTGCAGTAGTAGGTCAAAGTTATTAAGTTTGATTTATCATAAAGACTCTCATCTGGAAATCATTACACTATCAGCACTTTAAAATGCATGGTTAGACACCACCAAGTTTTATTACCTTCAGCTCCTGTTTGAGCAGCTCTTTCACTGCCCGCAAGATCAACCAAATTCTGTAAGACAGATGCAAATATGTGTTAGGAGGTGTAACTAGAAACAATAAACTCTAACTTGGTGAAGAAATACTTTATCTCCCAGCCTACTATTTAGGCCTTTTCTTTTTTTAAACTAAGCCACACTGATCTCCATGTCTTGTTCCTTATCTCTTCTCTTTCATCTGTCTGTCTGTCTATCCATCCTCTATGTTGCTGAGGTGTGCCCTATACAATGCCCAGTACTTTAGAGAGGAAAATATAATCTTAGCAACCTGGACTCTGCTGTGGCTTTTGATGCTTTTCCTCTTTATTTCTAATGTTTTAGTTCATCCTTACTCTGCACTCAAGAACCAAAGCAAACACTGTCTTCTCAATGGAGTTTTGAAACCTTTACCCTTCTTGTATACCTAGAATGAATACATCCTTAACTGCACATCCAAGCTCTTTAGACATGAGGCTCATTCACATGGTTCTTATTTTGCTGGGCTGGCATGTATGTACACACTACACAGTAGCTTTTAAGAGCACTGGCCTCTCATTTCATAAGTAACACAGAGAAAACTGAGAATCACAATGTGGGCAGCATGCTAGGTGCTGAGCAACAGCAGAGAGCCATGCACAAGTTCTGCTCTTTCAGGCCTCCCCTTCTACAGAGAAGCTTTGTGAGAAGACGGAGGGATTTATACACACAAGAGAAGATTTAGATCGCTGGAAAAGGGCACAGAGGGACACAGTATGTTCTCTGGAACAGGAGGCAGGGGAAGGCCTGCTATTAGGTCTACATGTAAGTGACAGAGAAGAGGGAGGGAGTCAGCTATGAAGAGATGAATACAAACAGTACCGTGTAGAAAGGTCAGCATGCCAGTTCACAAAGCAGACTCCCTTAGAGTGTTCGCTAATAACCCAGAAAGGATCTAGCTGCTTAGATGTGATCCTGGAATCTGGGAAGTAAAGGCAGGAGGACTGCCACGAGCTCCAGGCTAGCCTGTCGGGACAAGCCAAACCCAACATCCACCAAACCGGTGAACTGCAGCGACCGTGTACGACTGTAGGCATGGGCCAGATTGTGTGGCGTCTTGAAAGCAGGGCTGGAAGCATGGGGCTTCTGAAATGCAGGGAGCTACTGGAAGGCTTTATGCAAGAGGGTAGCACAGGGATTCAGCCTCCTAAAGGAACGACTGTGGCCCTGAAACCTGAAGCCAGAGAACCACCGAAGGGTAAGAGGAAAGACAGCACAGAGGACTCAGAGCTGAAGGATGCTGGGGAATAACATTCCCAAGGCCAGGAGAAAAACCAGAAATCAGCTGCCCAAAAAGCCAGAAGAAGACTCCAGAGGGAACATTTCTTTCCCAGGAGGGTTTTACAGGATGCAGACAGGCTGGCCCAGGTTATCCTGAGACTCACATGCGGCAAATCAGCAAAGGGATGAACAACAGAATTCCCACATTTATAAACATGCTTTCTCATTGCTACAAAAAATGTTTTAACCATTCTTCATACTTTTTGTTTTTATCATACTCTTTTAAGTTACACTGGCTAAGATTTAAAAACAAACAAATAAATAAAACATATTCAAATTCCAAGATTCAACTCTCAGGCTGGAGAAGATTGTTCTTGCAGTTGTACAGCCATCACACACAGGAACAAAGATGAGCTGACCACTACACTAGCATCTCAGCTAGTACCCGAGGCTAACCCTTACACCAACTGCTCAGCTAGTACCCGAGGCTAACCCTTACACCAACTGCGCAGCTAGTACCCGAGGCTATTCCGACGATCACTTATTCTGTCAGCTATTGACCCTTTGTTCCTACTTAGTAAACAGTTCTTATTCAAGCAGCCCCCCAACAGCCTGTCTCTCCGGGCCCACACGGAATGATGTTTATAAACACTCACCAGGTGTGACACTTTGATAGACCCGTCACAGTTAGAAGATTCACCTTTTTCTCTGCTTTCCAAAATCTAGGTAGAAAAGGCAGCTTGTCAAAATGAGTAAATTCTTCTTTGGAAAGACCAAGTGTAGGAGGACAGAATCACCTACCATCCTAAAAATCGTATGGGAGCGACTGCTTCTTTGATTCATTTTGGTTACTCCATAATGTCTGTTCTCTGTAAAAATAATGAGCTATATGTCAACCATGTATCGACTTAAAGCACAAGAAAGACATCAGGCTGCACTTCTGCTCAATGCAACAAGTCTAGTTGGAGCCCATCTTATTTTAGCTAATAAAACATGGGACTTGATAGTTCTAGTATGCACTTAAAAATACAGCAGCCTTACTTTCTCCTGTTGTGATCCATTTCAAAGCCATTTCTGCTGTATAAACCACTTCTTCTGTAAGATCAGCAACATATACATTTCTCTGAAAACAGTTAATTATGAAAATATTAGACAAAGTTTGCTTTCAAAGTTAAAATCTACTGTAGAATTTGGGAAAGTAAAAAAAAAAGAGGGAATGATTATTCTGTAGAAAAAAACCAACTTATTCACTTATTTTATAAACTTCATTATAAAAAGAAACTTGCAAATAAATACTTCACAAACCAAAATTATGCAGACTCAAAATATGTACAGCTCAGTGAACTTTCATATACTTAGAATGGGCAATTAGAAAAAACCTATTTTAAAATATAAACTTTCTGCATCAAATACATTTTATGCCCTTAGTCATATTAATTCATTAAGTTTTAAATAAATTCATACCATTATATATGACTATTTCATACATATAGTTGGATTTCTCTACCACCCTTTACCTCTCATACCCCTATCAACCCCATCATTGGTACCAGTGCTGTTCCTGACAGGACTTTTAGTTGATTAGGGACATTCATATGGCTACTGAATCCAAACTGGTTCCTCTTAAAGTGAGGTTCACAAGTGAAGGCAATGACTCTTTTCCTTGTAGCAAAGGGTTCAGCATTGTGCGTAGGGTCCCCTGAAAGCCACCTTCCTCCCTGACTGACAGCTGGCAGGCCCATTCTATGCTGACCCAGTGACGTCACCTAGTTCTTTTACTCACGTTGATGTCTTCCCGAATTATCAAAGGTTTCATTTTTTGGGCACTACAGAGTAAGTCTGTAATAGTTTCATTGTAGATCTCCATGTAAGACACCCGTAAGAGAAATTCTCTCTCAGGAAACTAGGAGGAAAAAAATCACCCATTTATAAGCTGGTATTACACAGTCACATACTGAGAGCAAAGAGCCCAAAAGGAGTTATCTGCGAAGCCAACAGAATCCACGGCTATATGCTGATAAAAACCACAAAAGTGGTATTTAAGAAGTAACAAGTTGTCTAGGCTCAAAAGGAAGCCCTGACAATAGATGCTCGGGCTTTTGTGCCCAAGCTTTGTAAATAATGACCCCGCTTTCCTTCTCTTTACTTCACAGTTCATTCTTAGGGCTCCTAAGGAATCACTAGAAACCAGCTGGGCAGTGGGTAGTGCACGCCTTTAATCCCAGCACTTGGGAGGCGGAGGCAGGAGTTCAAGGCCAGCCTGGTCTGCAAGAGCTAGTTCCAGGACAGGCTTCAAAGCTACAGAGAAACCCTGTCTTGAAAAGACAAAATAAACAAAAAAAAGGCAAAACTGGTAACTAAACAAAGCTAACATGGAACTAACTGTTCAGATAGGATCCCCTACTGCTTAGTCTGCTTGTTGTTGGGAATAATATTGTTCTGGGACTCAGTGGGAAATAAATCTGAGAACTTCAAGTTCTAGGAAGCGTGTGAGGCAATGCTATGCTTATCTTATCGGGAGATAAGTGTGCCCGACTTTCACCAATTGCCACTCATCTGCCACTACTTTTCCCTACACGTGCTAGGAAGTCTGACGCTGTTACCTTCTTAATCCTTTGGAAAATGTCATGGATTGCCCTGGGTATAACTCCCACACAGTCCTCAGAGCCCATCATAGTATGCGTTTTTCCTGATGCAGTTTGCCCATAGGCAAATATGGTACCTGTAAACGCAAGTAAAACAGACAAACACACACAAAGACTCAAAACGAACTTCTAGTGAATAAAACTACCAATACTTAAGTTAATGGAATGAACACTGAAGACCTAAGGCATTCCTGCAACAGGAAGTGAATACAGACCGTTGTAGCCCTGTATGGCAGAATTGATGATCGGTACGGCGATTTCTTCGTACACATTTTTAGTGGATTCATTACTATGAAAGACACGATCTAAAAAGAACAACACAGAAATTCAATCAAACATATCAATTGCATTTTCCAAGTGTTAAAAAGTACCCAAAGAAATAAACCATCAGGGTCTAAAATGGTGACATAGCTAGGATTTTATTTCTTTAATTTTTTTCTTTTTCAGTAAACAATCTTCTCAAGGGGAAAATGTTCTGGTCTTCATATAGAAAAAAACCTACAAGTCAACAACCCTATGCATTTTCAAAGGCCGCAGAGCACAGTGGCTCAGATGGGTCTAGAGTCTGCTAGGTACAATCCTGATTGGATTCTCTGAGTGTTGGGCCTCAGTCTAGAATTTATGACAGCTACAGTACCATCTTTATAGAATTATTGTGATCATATTGGTACTTAGAAAATGTGAGCCGCGATTTTTGAGAAATCTTATTTTATAACATATCTTGCCAAAAGCCTAGCTCAAGCTAAATCAAGAAAACATCAAACAAAAAAATGTGACAGGAAACAGTCGTCTGCCTGCTAAATGTAGGCATCTGTACTGATAAATTTTCCACTCTAGGATCTGAATCTTTGCTTTTGTTAATACACTTAAAAAAAAAAAAAAAAGGTGACAGTTTCCATGGTGAAAAAGTTCACAGGGGACAACAAGGAACCCAGCAATCGGCGTGCTTCGACCCTATCAGTCATCCCACAGGCAGAAGTCATGGGAAAACCAAGCACCACACACAGGCTGTGTAAAGTCAGGATTTCAGGTGGAGGGGAGTTGGCAGCCGCTTGTACTTCAACCTCAGGCAGTGGCTGAGTTCTTCTATATGTGGAGAGGGCCACCAAAGCTTATTTAGTAGTAAAGTCTTGGGGAACCGGTACCCTCAGTCTTATAATCCCCTAAACATACACTTTACCTCTAACACTATATTATAAAATGGCTGTTTACCAGGGATCATTTTATGTCACATACTTTTCCGATCATTTTAGTTTTAACAGGGTGACAACCTAGGGTCTGGGAAAACGGCTCAGCTGAGAGCACTTATTTTGTAGTTCAGGTTGCCCTTGAACTCCTGATCCTCCTGCCTTCAGACTTCAGAGTGCAAGGAACAGAGGCTACACCCGCACACGATAACTTTCGATGCTGTTATAAACTTACCAAAATTGAAGGATTTCCCCCCATCACTCTGGTAAATAGTATTACTTTCAGTTTTCCAGTAAACATGGGCATCCTCTCCAAGTTCTTCTTCTCTGGAAGAAGAGAACCCAGAACTTTAGAATAACGTAAAGTGAACACAGAGGTCGGACCACAGGAAGGATCATCTAAAACATTTCACATTCTAAAGAAAGCCCTTAAGAACCTGGCAATTACAGAAAGTCTGCCTTGGGAGATCAGGACTTAGCTGTCTTAAATGAACCTTAGCGACCTGATTCTCATCAGTGAAGGCCCTCACTCTAAACACCAGCCCGGAAGGGGAGCAGTGCAAAGCACTACTCGGATTAGGTTCCTCTCCTAGGGGTGTCTGACTTTTCACATGTGACCCGATGCTGTCATCTACAAAGTTCATGGAGAATCTTCCAATAGACTGCTACAAAAAAAAAAAAAAAAAAAAAAAAAAAAAAAAAAAAAAAAAAAAAANACAAAAAAAAAAAAAAAAAAAAAAAAAAAAAAAAAAAAAAGAGTAAACCCCCCCCAACCTCTTGTAAAGTAAAGTTTTATAGTTTCATGTATGATTATGGCTTTATGCTGCACTATATTCATGGTTATGTCTAGCTGTGTGGGGTCTACCGTCTGTCTGAAACCCTTAAAAACAAGGTTGGAAACTTCTGGAAAACTTAACACGTCATAAATTACCTGAATGATCCCACTAATCTCAATCTCTCTCTCTCTCTCTCTCTCTCTCTCTCTCTCTCTCTCTCTCTCTCTCTCTCTCTCTCTCTCTCTCTCTCTCTCCAGAGTCTCAGTAAGTAGCCCTGGTTGGCCTAGAACTCACTGGGTAGCCGAGGCTGGTCTACAACTCAGAGATACCCCTGCCTCTGCCTCCAGAGTGCTGGGACTAAAGCTGTGAGCCACAACGAGCACTCTAATCTCTTCAATGCCATCTTCCTCTAAATTCCTATACACACCAAGCAGACCACATTAACCAACCATTGACCCATCCATCAAGTAACTGCCTATCCTTTCTTTGGTGGAAAGTGTCTGGATTTTCCTGGTACCAGGCGCCCATCAACCAATCACCATCGAAGGTTCAATGTCTCTTCCCACATTTTCCACGCTCACTTTCCACAGTGTATTGCAATGGCTTACCAGTACACACGCTGTTCTAGTTTACTTTCCGTTGCTACGACAAAATATTCTGATCAAAAGCAACTTGGAGAAGAACAGGTTTATTTCAGCTTACACTTCTAGCACTGAGGGAAAGTTGGGCACGGTTTCAAGTAGGAGCAGAGGCAATATCCATGAAAAAAATACTGCTAGCTGTTCTGCTCTCTCTGGCTTCTGCTCAGCTAGCTTTCTTATACAGCCCTGGATCCCATGAGCAAGGATGGCACCACCCACACTGGCCTGAACCCTCCAGCAGAGTCTCCCTCAGATAAAACTAGGCTGTCAAGTTGACAGTCAAAGCAAACCAGAAGAAAACGTTTCCCAAATTAGGGAAGGAACTTCTTAAGTACAAGAAATCCCCAATTTTGAGACTCTCAACTCGTTCGATACCAATTTCGCGAACACCAAAAGCTTTGGCATCTCTAGCTGAAGGCCGGAAGCTAGCAAACCCAGGAGACTGCATTTCCCACTTCCTGCCCTGTCTTTCTAGCATTTCCGACCCTTCTCCACAACAGCACATTTTCTGTCCCCGTCGCGGTCTGAACTTGTCCTCAGGAAACACGGAGTCCTGCTCCGGGGCGAGCCGGGACAGCGCGGCCGGGGCACAGGTCCCCACACGGGAGGGTAGCGCAGTCGCCCGTCCCCCGCCGGCCCACGCCGCCTACCTGCTGTTGAGCGGCCGCACCCGCACGCACACCGCCACCGCTGCCTCCTCCGCCATCCCGCCGGCTGCAGCCCAGGAAAACGCAGAAATCAACGGCGTCCACCAAGCTCCGGGACCGCCCCGCCTTTAAATTTAAAATGTCCTTAACGTCGCAGCTGATTGGGCTGCGCAGCGTCATGACGTCACGGGACCGTCCACGCGCCCCGCGGGAGCGGGAGGGGGTGCGGGGAGGCGGTGGGCGTGTCCGTGGTTCCAAAGTAGGCGGGGGACGATCAGGGATCAGGGATCGCGGAACTGAGAAACACAGAGCAGCGAGAGTGGTCCTGTAATGGATTATTAGTCAGGAGCCACCGAGCACCAGCTTCCTTCCTACCCCACCCTCAGAGAGCTGTCAGTTTGCAGAAAAATTTTATAATCTTTAAAAAAATAATCCAAACTAAACCTTTGCTTTGTTTTAAAGCCTCCAATGGGAAGAGTTGGAACTCTCTGTCCGGTCAGAAAAGGAAGACATTTGTATTCTTTGGAACTGCATTGAGGCGTTTTCCCGTTTTCTTTTCTTTTTTCTCTTCTCTTCTCTTCTCTTCTCTTCTCTTCTCTTCTCTTCTCTTCTTTCTTTCTTTCTTTCTTTCTTTCTTTCTTTCTTTCTTTTCTTTCTTTTTGGATTTTCGAGAATGGGTTTCTCTGTAGTTATTGGTGCCTGTCCTGAAACTAGCTCTTGCAGACCAGGCTGGCCTCGAACTCACAGAGATCCACTTGCCTCTGGCCTCCCAAGTGCTGGGATTAAAGGTGTGCCCTCCCATTACTTTCTATGTTTTCTGTCTTACTATTTTTTATGCATCTACATATTCTTTACTTATATTTCTTTAATTCCACGCCCCTACCCTGGTAAGAAGTATTTTTGTCAAGGCCGGTCCTTGACACAGGAAGTTCAAATTTGCTCTTGCCTCATGGAGAGTGATCAGGGACACTTAGCAAAGTTGTATTAATACTTACAGAAATTCACCTTAAGTTGTGGATTTTGCAAAACTACAAAAAGATGAATATGCCAAAATTTCTACTGTAGAATTATTTTCCATAGAGAAAACAACAACAACAACAACAACAACAACAAAAGCCAAATATCTACTGGAAAAGAGTTCGGTGAATTATCACACCTCTGCACAATGAAGTATTGTCTTCCTGCAGGAGGCGTTGATGTATACATCCATCGACTGCTTTGAAACGCTCCCTAGATACTGAGTAGAAGAATTGAGGAGCAAGTTGTGTACATTATAATTTTCTTTTATTTGAAGAACTATTTTTTGTTGCTATTAAGATAAAATGAAGGGGGTACCAAAATCTAAGAGGAAAGGGTTTACTTACATGACAGTGCTTCTCGGTAGCTGTGACTGGATGGCTCTTTGTTACAGCTGATGGCCTGGGAGGATGGAGGTCAGCATCCCAGACCTCCCTCTACAGTAGCATCTGCTGGGAAAACCAGCTATGGCCAAACGTCCCCTAGGGGGCGCGCTTGTCTACCTTTGAAAATCACAGTGGAAGAAGGACGTGAAAAGGAAATTTCTATGTCATCTTTATTATTTTTCCATGCAGTGATTTGGAACTTCGTTAACACTTTACATATTGTATCATAAATTACCTCTTCTACAACGTTCTAAAAAAACCACAACAAAACTAATTGAATGAGTTAATTGCACACAGAATTGTTATTCCAAATGGCTTCAAAAATAAGTTAAACATCTTTGGTGAATACACCCTAAGTTGGAAAGTAATAAAAATTATCTTTTATTTATAAGTATTTTTGAAATAATATTGATATTATTTTAGGAAATAAAACCAGTCAATAATTGTGCTGTTGTTGTTAGGAACCCATATTTTTGCACAAGAGACATAAAAATAAAACAAAGTTTAAGCGAAAACTTGGTGTAAATTGGGATGGAAATGTTACCATAAATTCATGCTATGTTTTTTCTTTAGTTGTATTTTTAATTGTGTGTGTGTAAGGATGTGTGTATAAGATTGTGTGCGTGTGTGTAAGGATGTGTGTGTGTGTGTGTGTGTGTGTGTGTGTGTGTGTGTGTGTGTGAGTGAAGGCGCTCTCAGAAGCCAGAAAAGGGTTTCAGATCCTCTGGAACTGGAGTTATAGGTAACAGGGCGCCATGGAGTTGGCCTACCCTAGCTGCCTCGAGATGTATGTGTCATGGTCTTTAAGAGTCCACGGCTCCTGGGACACAGGGCGCCTTCCAGTTCCTGAGAGACTGATGTACTCCCTCAGGCAGCAAAGCATTCAGGCTGCTTTGTGCTTCTCTGTCTGTTCCCTTAGTAGTTAAAAAAGCCCGAAGGCTTAAAAGGACAATTAATCTTGTGAACCCTGTATGACTTGCAGACTTCACTGTATCCTGGCAACTACAACTGTATTGATCTTGGTAATTGTCATGATATTATTGTTGCCGATAAAAGTATAAAACGTTTGATTGCGCACTAACCCAGCAGTGGTGGTGCACGCCTTTAATCCCAGCACTGGGAGGCAGAAGCAGGCAGATGTGCGAGTTCAAGGCCAGCTTGATCTACAGAGTAAATTCCAAGATAGCCAGTGGGTAAACAGAGAAACCCTGTCTCAAAAAAACAAAACAAAATAACACAACCCTTGCCAAAACCAAACAACAAAATTTTCAAGGAAAAAGAGAAGGTGGGTGTATATATTCAAAGAGAACCCTCAAACCTGCCAATGAAGTGTGGGACCAGCTTGGCTCCTTGTGGAGTCAAATCGATTCTAAAGAGTAGAAAATTGAAACAGTTGGTTTGAGTAGTGACTAAATATTTGATAATATTAGCTTTGGTTAGATTGTAGAGACTTTTTTCCTAATAAAGACGATATTTTTCATACATATCTGCTGAAGTATGTGTGAACGAAATGGAAGGACCTCGTGTTGGGTAAAAGGGACAACTGGAGCAGGAAGTCAACCAATCACTGAGTACCTTGACTCTGAACCCAGAGTCAGGGAAAGAAACACCCTGGATCTGAGACCTGAGCTAGGGAGAGAAACATCTTTATCCCTGAATCCAGGACCAAAGAAACATGCCCCAACTCTGAAACTAGTGCCAAAGAAACGCACTTTGTCCCTAGAATCAGAGCCAGTGAAAGAAGTATGCCCTGGTCCTAAGAGTCAATAGGCTAAAAAGGTCTAGTGGAAGAAACACAGTTTGGCCAAGAAATCAGAGCCATCTCTGCCCCTGATGAACTAAACTAACCCATCCCTGAACATGGAAAACTAACCAATCCTTCTTCTCCCTGGGAAAACTCCACCCCCAAGAAACCCTATGTAAGCCTCTCTGCCCCTTTAGTTAGAAGCTGCATTAATATCCTTCCCTGGCAGAGGCAGCCACTCTCCTGGACTCCTCCTTTCCAAATAAATCTCTTTCTCAAAAGAGTCTTGGGTGACAAACTTCATTCGCCTGCATAGAATAGAAGAACCTGGCTGAGATGTCCCTTAGGGGACTGAGCTGAAAAATTTTGCTGAGATGCCTTCTTGGGTGTGTGGGGCAGGGGCTGGCAGGACTGAGCAAGGTTGAGCAGAACAGAACAGAAGACCCTTGCTGGGATGCTCCCTAAGTGGGAATGAGCAAAACTGAGCAGAAAAAGTAACAGCTCCCCCCACCTCCTCCCCCCCTCGAGTGGGAGAAGATTGCTACATTTTCTGCAAGTGCTTGGCCTTTAGCAGAGTGTTAGCAAAAGAATTAACATCTTGGGTCAGAGAAGAAGCTGCTAGGACACTCCCTTAGGGGAACAGAGCAGAGCTCAACTCTAGCAGCTTTCCAGGAGAAGAGCAGGACCCCACCGCACCCCAGCATCAGGTAGCCTGGCTTCCAGATAAAGTCAGGACACCTTTCCCCGATGGCTGTCTTATTGTGGCTCCAGCCTCCATAGCTGTCCTATTGCGGCTCTCAGTATAGCCTGGCTTCTCCATAAGCTATGATGCCTTTGTAGCTCCAGAGCCGTATGTAACCCATTCCCCTACACTTAGGGTACCACCTCTCTTGAGAGCAGCCCTCTCTACTGCCATCCGGAATTATTTGGGATTTGCAGTCGCTATCTGAGCAGCGCAGGCAAGCTTCAGGGGGTAGCGCATTCACAAGCATTGTACCACTTGGAGAAGATTAAAATAAATTTGCTTAATGAGTCGTTCTGCCTGCCTTTATCATTAGCATTCATTATCTACCTCCGACAGTGAAATGGATGGTCCTTGCTCATGACTTCCTTCAAGTTGAATACAAATCTTTCCTACATGCTTTTTAGGTTTGTCTATAAATTCAGGATATCCTGTGCTTAAACTTCTCTAGGCCTATTTTAAAGCCTTATATAACTTCTGCGATAAATATAACAGAATGGTTTTGTTGGACTCTAGCGTCCAAACACCGATAAGGAGTCGCCCCCAGAGACGATCTCACACACTACAGCCGATGCAAAAGCATGAGGATTTTATTAATTCTGTCATGACAGGGTCCCCCAGCATTCGGGAAGCCGAGGGACCTCGAATAGCGGGTACAGTCTACTTTTAAAGGGGCCACAGAAGCAAGGGGGGGGCTGTTCTTTGCCTATTCTGATTGGCTTATTTGAAAGGGCTATTACCAATAATTGACTGGAGAGCTGTTGCCAGATCAGATGAGGTAAGAGGTCATTTTGACCCCGTTTCCCAGGGGACCGAACCAAAGCATACGTATATGGGTAATAGTTCAGGAACTGGGTACGTGCAAGTGTAGCTGTTAGGTCCTTGGTTCCCAGGGGAGGAGGGGAAGCACTATGGCACAGAGGCTGAGAGGATTCAGAATTGTCAAAAATGGCTTCAGGATTGTCTTAAAGTCTTACAGTTTAAAAATTTTAAACCATAATATTTTATCTCTTTTCTCAGTACATTTTAAATGGCAGTTTGACGACATTTAACATAACCAGTATTTCTTTTTTTAAAAAAGAGATTTATTTAATTTACTGTGCTCGTGTGGAGGCCGTGACAGACTTGTGTGCAGACACTGTCCTGGTGTAGGGCTATGAAGAACTGGTATTTCCTGCATTATTTGATTTTATCATTAAGTTACTTCTTATCATGTTTATTCTAAAAC